GAGAAACTGAAGAAGGAAAGAGAGAGGGATAATCTGTTGATTATAGGAATAGGTATGAACATGAATCTACTGTCGTTCACTTCTTTATTGAGCAGTAACGCCGAGGGCTGGACGAGAATCCCTGATCGGCTCCGAGCAGAACTAAACGGCAGAGCAGCCAGAACCTCGTGTGAACTGTAACACAAGCAGCGCTGAGCCCCGTGAGAGCTTGACACACATTTGAAATGGAGGACAAAGTATCCAGGAAATAGTGCTGTAGCTTGCATTTCCTATTCTCTAGTTGTCTCTGATACAGACCAGCCTCTCTTCAGAGTGATCCAGACTACCTTGGATGCCGAACAGGCGGACTGGATGCCCCATCGAGCGAGCTGGCCCGAGCTGGCATACTACCCTGAGAGCAAAGAGAAAAAGTCCTGAGAGCGGTCACTGCCCTGAGCCCCCAGAGAGAGGCAGAGAGAGAGGGACTGCAAAGAGCCAGCTCTCCCCTCACCGACTTGTCCCCTCCGTTTTTCTGAAACAGGCACTGCTCTTTTGAAACGGTGCCAATGGAGGCTGGCCCAAAACCCTTGCAGCTGAAACTTTTACAAGCTGAGTGTTCGTGAGCAGGAAGAGAAAGACACAGAGTTAGATTTGTGCAGAGAGTTTGCAGCTCCTCTCTCTCGTCCTGCTGTGGATGTCAGGACGACGATTCAATCTGCATTTTTTTTTTTTTGTGAGCATGCAAACTTTAGATTTTTTAAGAGTTTGCACACTAATGCTTTAAAGAGGAAGACTGCAAGGATTTAAAGGGGATGTTTTGGAAATAGTTGCTTAAAAAATGAGGAGTCGGTGACGTCACGAAAGAAGCTGTCCTGGATACTGCCTGAAGAAAGCTCCAATAAGTCTCGGCGGCTCTTTGGCGTGGACAAGTTTGAAAAATAAAGCTTGTTTCTGATCCAGGACTTGGATTATTCTGGTGTTTTTCATCTCGCCTCACTGTCCACAAGAGACAGTGTGTTTGGCTTCGCCTCCTCCTAAAGATTGACCCTTCCCTCGCCCTTATTTACGCTCCACAGATCCATGACACACTTTGTTACTTTTGGACGTGTTGTGGTAAACACACCGGATCTCTGGTTTGGCTTGTTTTGTTGACAGTAAACACCGGCTCCCATTCACAAGTGAAGTCAAACTAATCCAGGACTCAAAGGGATTCTAGTCTTTTCTGTGGACTCTGTTACAAACCCGGACAAAAACACAGGCAGGTGCAGAACAACTAAAGACGTCCGGAGTGACTACCGAAAATGGGAACTGTGAGGCATGTACTACCTGGGACTGAAGCCAAGTGCTGACAAAAGGCTTTACTGCACGACTCTGAGAGGAGCCTCAAACTCTTCTGAAATACTTGAGGAATACCTGGCAGTCAACTGTTTAACCAACTTGAGATAAATCTGTCAAACCTTTGAGCCTCATTACCAGAGAGCATGTAAGTACTCACATCTAAGCTCTTATCTGTGTCTGTCTCTCAGTTTCTTCTTCCCCTCTCAGCCTCTAATCCCACAGTCACAGTGAGATGTGTATTTAATGACGAGTAATCGACAGTTCATGTGACTCCTCTCTGTGTGGCTCGACTCCCACATTCCACTTTGATTCATATCTCGAATAGAAGCGTGTTTGCTGCAGCACTATTTGGTGACTTGGTGATTTCTTCTTTTCCTGCCTCCCCCTTTTCTTTCTCTTTCTCGCCGTTTCTCTCCCTCTTGGCAGCGGGGTAGAAGTGGGCAGGCGGAGAGCGCGAGAGGAGGGCACGGCCCAGAAACTGCTCTCAAGCCCCAGCCCCTGTTCGAGTGGGGTTTCTTGCGTGGTGCAGCACTCAGCCTTTCTCTCGTCCTGCAGGCGAAAGAGAGGGATGTGGAAATGCATTCTTGTTTCATTTCCAGCCCTCCTTTTTTCCTTTTCTTTTGTCTCTGCCGCCACCATGGCCTAACTCTGCGGGTGAACACTAGCGTGACCTGTTCATAAAAGTCACCTCCAGGTATTTCTCACTTTTGATTCTGCTTCTCTTTGGCCCTCTCGGTTGTGTTTTTCGACGACGCTGCCTTTAAAAATGATTTTCTTACACTCCTGAACTTCTTTCATTGTCACCTTCCACACTGTACACGTGTCTGCTTCGCTCGTACCGAACACAATGCAGCTTCGATTCCTCGGCTCGTGGAGTAAACACGTTCAGAAATCATGACAAAGTCGTTTGTACATAGTTGTTGTAATGAGCTGTGTGTTGATGTAGCTCCATTCAATAAATCATGCGCCCTGAGCAAAGTGAGGTTTGCATTACTGCATCCTAAAGTGCAGGGCTGCAGTAAAACAGAACATTTAAGTCTAATTACCAGCAAATGGGAAGCCGAGGACTCGACGATGCCCGTGGTTTCGACTAAATATCACCCTCTCAAAAGCGAGAACTTCGAGGTGACGTAAAAGAATCTACGCCGACTTTTTCGCTTTATATTTTACCGAAAGTGTCCGATAATGTCGGAGGAACCAAATACGCAAAATTTGCGAGATATGCATCGTACAAGACGACTGTATCAGGATCTGGATTCCTTGTGTTTGATAGGCCTGCTCAGTGTGAACCAGTATGAACCAGATCCCTCTGTTGAAAGCATTGTTCTATACATGAAGAGGCTTGTAACGTCAGGTTCTTGTGAAGGCCTCGGTTTTCAGATCGCACACTCGAGGATTTAGCTCTAAAATAACGACAAAATAATCTGTTTTATTCACGTTTTTCACATTTCACACGCTCTCCGGACGGTTATGAACTCAGTATTTTAACACACGACACTTTCTGTGCAGTTTTCAGGGTTTGTGTTTGCACACAGTCGAGTCAGCTTTTGTATTTGTGTCACCAATTATGGCATACTGCACTGTACAGATAGAGTGAATGAAGAAAACAAGGGGGGAGGGGCGGGAGGATGGGCAGATAGACAGAAAATGAACTTATTTCCTCCTCCTCCTCCTCCCTCTCCTCCCCCCACGGCTCTCCTCAGATGAACTCGCCGTGTTGAACTTGATGACATGTTGTTTGGAAAGTCATATCCTCCGCTATTTGCGCTTCTCTCCTCCCCATGGTTGGAGTGACTCTGTGGTTACCAGGATCAAAGTCTCGTTTTTTGGGGAGGTTGTTGCTTTTATCAGGTCATACTGCAAACACACACACACACACACACACACACACACACACACACACACACTACAGCTTTTCCTGTTTGTTAGCAGAAGTGATTCATGGCTCATAAACGGCGTTTAATCTGACTCTATGGACCATAACTGTTTTATATAAGCTTCGACTAAAAGCTAAAAGTCATGAGAAATATGTCTGTGAGGTCCAGATGTGTCCTCCTAAACACTCATGTACTTCCACTTTTGTTGAATTATAGACAGACAGGATCTACATATGACAAAATATCAGTCCGCTAACTCTCCTGTGATCATCCTAACTTCTAAACGCTCATTATAGAAGCAAACGAGCCACTTCAATAAAAACATCTACAGGCTGAGAGACAGGAAACTTTCAAGAGTCACAACAAACTGTTAACCACGAGCAAAAGTCATCTAACCTCAGAGCTGCAGCGCACCATGAGATAAACAAACCACATGACATAAAAAAGCCATCCTGTAGCTGAAAACCCCCTGAGACCGTGGTTAGCTGCTTTGGAAAATGTTCAGTCTTTAAGTCTTAAACTTTAAACTGGAGACTAAAGAGAATAAACATGCCAGGAGAAAGTAGGGCTGCATGATTCTGGCCAAAAATAAAATCCTGATTTTTGATTCAGTGACAACTTCACCAAACTTCACTTTAATAATTCAAAGTTTTTCTATCATCTCTCAAAACTAAATCACTAAAAACAATGTAATGCATAGGCCAAACCAGTAAGTGGCGCTAAAACGCTGCACAGGAAATGCACAAAACACAGAAGAAGAGTACAGAGCATGTGTATAAAGGTTGTTTTGGCCCGACACGCTCAGGCGCCATCAAAGAGTTACTCTGTGTGTCACATGATCGTTTCCAGAGATGCAGATAGACATCCACACGGAGATGAAATGGTCGTCGTTTACAGATTTATTCACTCTCTGACCCATTTTCAAAAAGTACCGTTTACAGTCACTTGAAACGCCGTTTCAATGTGAATGAAACGCAGATACAACTAAAAACTTTAGCGTTTCCTCCTGAATTCGTCTCTGTGGTGACGGGTTGATACCGCCTTCAAACAGACTTTGCAGCGGGGAGTGGTTTGTTCTTCATCTGAAACTGTGAAGTCGTACCAATTCAACACGACTGACTCGCTCTTGTCATATTTAACCATGAAATTATCGCCTTCTTTTGCAAACGCCATGTTTGTTTATACTGGTGTGTGTGGGAACTGGGGAGCGCTCTCGCAGGAAGGAGCCTAAGGGGTAGACAAAGTTAATGTGGGAGGGGGTGAGCAGTTTGTGGAGTAGTTATCGTCCATTTATCGTTATCGAGGTGAACTGATCAATATATCGTGATATTGATTTGAGGCCATATCGCCCAGCCCTTGTTATTATAATCTGAATAATAATCTGAGTGAAAACAGATTAAAATGTCTAAATATCCTCCAATCCAGTCTGAAGTTTCTGCAGATTCTCTCGGTTTCTCCACATCTAAAAATATGAATGAATATTCAAACTCTAACGTTCTCCATGTGAGTCATTACGTTGAATTTCCTCCCGTGGATCACATCTGCCAGAACATTTAGTAAAACATACAAAGCAGCTGCATTAAAAGAACGATTAATGAAGAAATCTTGTTCATCAGGATCAAGATGTCAAACAGCTACTGAGAGAGACGCAGATGTGAACGGCATTACAGAGCGAGTCAGCCTGAGAGATGGATGTAAACTCCTGCTGACCTCCGTTTATTAACAATATGTCTCACATATGATTTCCCTGCGCTGAAACCTCAGACTCAAACTGCAGAGTATAAGCACTTGTCCGACATATGGACCAAGTCTGCTTATGAAACAATGGATCTTTCTTCAGATGTGTGATTAACTCGCTCACACGCAGCACGGACACTGCACTGAGCATCTGGCAGCGAGCTATGCCACCAGACTTGATTGTGCGGTATCATACCCTCTTCTCTGACATGGCATCCTCCCATTGCTCGGCTGCCAATACTCTCCTCCCCCCTCAGCGGTGGGTTCTGCCATGCTGCATCCACGACATCACCCCCTTTTCGTCTCATTGAGATTCAGCTTGGCACGCAGACAATGCCCATTTCTTGGCACCAAATATTGGAAAAGAAGCGCTTAGAGGAACCAGTCTCAGTCTTTTCCCTCACAGTCGTCCCCTGTATCCCGACGATCATCATGGACCAACGCCAACTTGTTCTGGGTATCTTTTTTTAAGCTTTCGTCTACTATATTCGCAGTTTTTTTAATCCGCAATGAATTATTTGGCAACACAAATGTCTGTGATAAGTTGCAGGTTTTTGCCAACCCAGGGCGGGTTGCTCCGGGCACATCGGTTTGAATGATCGTGTCAGTGATCTGTGATCTGTTGATTGGCATGTTGATAGTTCAGAGTGACTTATAAATGAAGGTCATGGGTAGATTGCACTATTCATCATTATACTCTGCAACAGAGCAGCCATTTTCCTTTCATCAATAGCTGAGAGATGTCAGAGTCAAACCATTACTTCCGGGGGTGCTGAGAGTTTGCTTCAGTTCTTGTTACCCACCCACCAATATGGACTTACACAGGAAACTGTTTATATCTAAAGAGATTTTTAAATGAATGTCAGATAATTATTTTGGAGTTAGACAAGCAAGACTGATTCCTAACATGTAAATGTATCTTTTTGACTTGTTCTGTTGGCCTGTGGCCTTCCTAAAGTTTTAACAGATCAACAGTCTTTAAACAAAGTGAGATAGATGAACAGATGGGTAAATTAGAACAACTGATTATTTCATTAAACACTGAGAACACTGGAAGTACTCTTGATACCAATTAAGCTTATGCCTGCAGATATAACTGACCTTTCATAACAAATGCTAACTCAAGATGCTTAAAGGTGGGGTAGGCAGGATTCCTTTAAAGAAGTATCTTGTTTTGTGGTGTATATGCAAAAAAAGCTTTTAATATCAGTCAGTAGCTATTAGTTATTGATGACTATTTGTAATATAAAAATATCACCCAACCTGATTGGTTGTGAGGCAGACTGTAGGAGCCAAATATGTTAATGTGATACATTATCATGAGTTGCAGTTCACTTTGTATGCCTAAGGTGTTTCAGCGTTGCTCGATAAATTTGCTCAATCAATTTTTGTTCGCTCTATCTGAAGAACAGCGTCCGGACTTTCACTGATCATTAAAGACTTACGGTAGAGTAAGAAACCAGAAGCGCGGCGTGTCAACCGTTTTACTCTGGGTCAGGAATCTCAGTAGCCTAAAGTATTGACTTAGCTCTTTCACTAAGAATACAGTGTTTGAGTTCTGGTGCATCTTACCTTCAACATCTCAGGGGACATCAGCCTTGATTCAGTTGTTGTATCCGTCAGAAACTCGTTCCTCTAAATCCTGTCGTATTAAGTTGGCTTTTGGCTGATCTGTTTAAAGAGAATAACAACATGAGTAAGATTTCTCATTTTGCAAACAGATGGATGTTTATATCCCTGATAATGCAGGTAAGACCAACTGTTTTTTTTTCTGTTTAATTAGAGATCGTGCTAATTGGCGACTCTCAGTCTGATGCTTCGGTCTGATGCCGTTTTACTTTTTAAACCGAAACACTGCAGTCTTATCCAACGAGGGATCAGCTGCATCACTAGCTGTGATCTGATGTTTGTCAAATATATTTTCAATTTGAAATACCACCAAATGTTCCTTATCCATGGGGATGTAGCTGCTTGTTCATAAGAGACCAGTAAAGTGACAAAGATTCATCAGATTGTCAAAGCTTGTACAATTTATAACCCCGGGACGAACAGTGCTCAGCATTAATGAGTACACCCCTTCAGAGTTGTCAGAAAACCTTTAGTTCCCCACTAAAATCAACATTTTCTATGTCAGACTAGACAACAAAATACTTCTCCAAATGTAGACCATTGACTGAAAACAAGATTGTTTAATTTGCAGACAAAAAAGTATTTTTTTCATGCAAAAATGAGAACACCCCGATCAAAGTTCTCGGAGCAAAGATAAATTTTAGTGACCAAATCACCCTTATTTTCATGTTATGGTAAATAAAATGTTAAACTCATCTTTGTCAAAACTTTGGAAATTGTACTTCTGCTCATCTAGATATTGAGTAATACATGACTTTTATTAGGAGGTGTACTGACTTAAGCTGGGCACTGTAACTGTGTTGAACATTAACGCTCTGACAAAGACATTAACAGCAGATGGCCACCGTAGGAAAATGGTGCACGTTGTGTTGATTCCTCTTTAGTCGGTGAATCAAGTGTTTTGGGGAAATTCCAAGTATGTGGGAGAAAGTACCTGGTTCTGTGAAGCTAATTCTGTGTCTGAAGCTCCAAAGCTACAAAGGTGTTCCCCCTGGGAACTACGCATGACGGCCCATTACAGCGAGAAATATTTATAGAAGTCTACACAACTTTATGGAAACGCTGTCCTCTCTGAATTGGCCGTCCAGTTTGAGGAGTTTGATACCATTTACCTTCTAATTAATTCAACATCTCAATTAAGGCCTCCCAATGTCTGATGCCCCTGCGCCGTTTCATTATGGCCCGATGAGCATGCCCTGGCACCGCCGCCACAAAGCCTGCCAAAACATTTCAATCACTGTCGGCATTAATTAGGCCAAAGAGGAATTCAGAATGTTAATGAACTGCCCAGCCGGCTTTCAGCGACCATGGTTCACATGCTAATTTATGCAAATCATCCCAGCCTTTGCATGAGTTGACCATCGTTGTCTACCATAACAGTGTCTGGGCTCAGTCAGCGAAGCCAAAATATGGCACAGTCGGGGCTCAGACAGCTCTGCCCAGTCTGCGTCCCAGACTTGAGCTGGCACGGTAAACAGACTTCATTTTCAATGGACTTGAAGTGGCTTTCACTTTGAGCGAAAAGGGGGCGATTTTCCAAGAGTCAAGACTCTTTCAGACCATCTCAAGCAAAGACAATATCACATGTAGGATTTCTTGGCACACTTTAATGAATCAGCAAAACAGAACTCTGAAACTACATTTCTGTGTGAGGACTTGTAAGTCGGTTCAAAGACTGCATGAACCATTATCCTGGTGAGAAAAGAGAGCCTTTCTTACGGGGCCGGGCCTGAATGGAGGAGAAGTTAACAGGTTGCACCACAGATGTTTAGTGCTGGCGCCAAACAAGCACATAAAATGGCCGAGGTACTGCCATTTTCCATCCCCCTTCCATTCACTGCTCACAGGATGTAGAGCGAGATCAGACTTGGGGTCTGTTGTGTAGTCGATTACAAAAAAGATGCAAGTGGATCCCGATATCACTCAGTACACTCACATGCTACAGTGAAAAGTATGTCTGCCTCTAATTCTACATCAGGTGGCTTCCTCGACTCAATCAGCCGCTCAGACTTCAGGTCAATGGTCGTGCATATTCTGACAGAAAAGTGGTTGCAGATGCAGGACTTGACAGTGGGACCGTTTCACTAGAATTAGCGCCTAAAAATAGATGTGTACGAATTGTAAAATGTATTTAGGGTCACATGTGCGCATAAAAAAATCAGCCGAAGCAACAAATGTTTTTTCATGTAAATACGGCGGTGAAGTTAGTTTTAGGTTGGATATCTGACGGACATTCATTGAGGATCTACCGGTGTCTTCTCACTCTCTGATGTTCTCAGAAAAGGCTGTTTTCCTTCAGTAGCTTCCATGTCATGTGACCAATTAACCTAAAGTCGATCTCAAATAATAACACTAAAGTCGGACAGTAAGACACACCCCTTTATTTCCCTAATTTGTCCTCAGAAATTTTTTGTGTTAAATTTAAAGTCAAATTTTGAACATTTCCTTCAATAGCTTCCACATCATGTGACCAAAAGACCTAACATTGATTCCAAACAGTACTTATGTCGACCAATAAGACAAACAGTATTTGATCAATTTTCATTGTGCCCCTAAAGTTCTTAGTGTGCTCCTTACTTTTTCAACTCAGGAGCACATGTGAAAAAAGTTAGAGACAAGCCCTGCAGATGTGAAGTCATCTCTCACCCTGACGTAGATTTCTTTGGTCTTCAACATGGCGCTCTTGCAGGACACTTTAAGATGCTGTGTATTTATGTATTTATTCACATATTTTGACTCCCAGCTAATTGATAGCTTCTCTTGTATGCTGGCCTCTATGTTGCCATGCTCAGACAGAAACCAAAGATTAGACTGTCCGTTTTTCTGAGAAACTAGATAAGGTAAAATACTTTGAATTGTGGCGCCCGTTCCAATGAGAAACACGACTGTAAGACTCACCAATCCTCTCTTTTGCTTCGCAGGTCAGCTGACCGGTTTCCTCTGGTATCTGCTTCGTTTTCTGTCCTTGAGGCTGAGGTAGTAGATTGAATAGTTGTGGGGTTTGGATCCTCCCTCTGAGATAACTTTTCAATCTACTGTCTTTCCTGAAGAGATGGGATGATCAGCTGGAATGAGGAAGATAACGGGATGAACTCACAGACTCAGAAAACATGATTTAAGAAAATTTTGTTGTAGAAAGTTGTAGATGAGGCAGTAGTTTTATGGACACACCAGACATGATGGTAAAGGTGTGTGATACCAGTCCTAGTTCATGTTTGGTCTGATATTCATCAAATAAAGCATTTAACCCTTCGGGCAATTTTAAATTTAACGCATTAAATATGCAATAATTCAACTGTTTGTTTTTTATAATTTGACATCCTCTAATTAGAGCACTTTAGCTAATCACAATAAGCCTAAAATGGCTCCTTTCAAAACAAAGCATTTTTATTTATATAGTGCATTTCATACCAAGGCAACTCAATGTGCTTTACATAAAAACAAAACATTTTTTAAAAAGAACACCATAACAAAAAAAGTTAAAAGCAGGTGCAATAGATAATTAAAAATTAATAAAAAGAGCTCAGCCATAAGCACATGAAAAGAGAAATGTTTTTAACTTGGAGCCAAATAACCTAAATTAAAATAAAATAAATTTTTAACACCGTATTATTAATGCACACGTATACCCTGACATTTTAAGTAAAATAAATACACACTGATTCAGAGAGTGCTGCTTTGTTCGATCTGTTACTAACTTAAATGCTTTTAGCTTAAAGCTTAATGGTTTTAACATCCTTACTTGGTTAAACACTTAACTGAACTTAAAAAATCGACAAAAAAGGCTCCAAAGTTACTTCATTTAAAATTTCAGCTGTTAACAATCATGGACAAACCTTCAGGTTGTATCAAAAAGGTGTTTTATCCACATTTATTAGCCTTTTGTGGTTGCTTTACGACGGTATTTCCATTTTCCCGCCTCTCTTCTTTGTACTTCCGGCAAATTTCTTTTCAAAATAAAAGCTCCTATGTTTGTCAGGCTATTTTCCTAATGCGGAAATCAAAATTTAGTCTGAGAAGATGCTATCAAAATAAAACAAACTAATGTATTATTTTGGTCATTTTCATGTACTCTACGTTTAAATTTAGTGCATATTGAATGAATATAATTAACTGATGCCTGAAGTTGAGCCTTGCAAGGTGAGGTAGTAGGTTGTATAGTTTGTAGAATGGACTAAATCCTGCTCAGGTGATAACTATACAGTCTATTACCTTCCTTGAGAGGTACAATGAGAGCTTGGATCGAGGCTCAGACATATGTATATATATGTGTGTGTGCGAGTGTGTAGAGGAAGTCACTCTGACGCCATCTTGTGACAGACGAATGAAAATACTCCTGAACAAAAAGGACATAAATGTTTGACTTTTTTGTGGATCTAAAACTGTAACACAAAACTTTTATCAAGGGTGAATTTTTTTCATTCAGTCTGACATCCATGTACCTGGAAATTAAAAGTAAAACTTAAATTTTTATTTTAATTTAGGGGAAAAGCTTCGAGTCAGAAAATTATATTTTTTTAAGAGTTACATAATGAACCCTTCTCTACGTCCAGCCTGTGAAACTGGTTTTGACATATTTGCCACATGTTTGGTACATTCACCACACTGATATTATTGCAAAGTTTCAGACTGAGTGGTGTGCATTCACATTTAGGATTAATAGGTTGGTGTTAGTTAATGTAGCCTGTTGAAATATAGTTTCCTGTAATACCAAAATAAAAGCTTTGCACCCAGATAAATATGATTTTAACTGGTGCATTAGAAAACAGAACTTACTTTTAAAAGTGCTTGTTGAGAAATAAATACCATTAAAAATAATTAAACTGTTGTGCTGTGTTTGCTTTCACTTCACTTCAACTTTAATTTGTCCAAAAAATGGGCAAATCAGGTTGCAGCAGGCACAGACATTTATAACACTGCCATACATCATAAAAAGAAAATAAACAAAATAAAATACATTTACATTAAAAACAGTTCAGGAGGTAAAAAGCATTAAAAACGATTTAGAAGGTAAAAAGAAAAGCATATGTCAGTCATACCAGTATTTTTTGCATGAACAGAGAGCATAAAATGCAGAAACAAAATGCTTTTGCTTATGGTGGTAATTTATCTGACAACTGTGCATTGTTTACTGCAAATCCGCCTTTTTTGTCATTTCAACACAGTTTTACTGATACAACAACATGATTAAAAAATGCATCAAGTAATGCTGTCAAACATAGTCAACTTAAAGCTGCATAAAGGTGATTTCCAAGGTAGGGCTTTCTTTTAAAATACATAATAAACTGGAACTTTATCAGAAAGTGAAAAGAGCGATGTGAAACTCACTTTTAAGGCAAGTGGAAGTTCGCCTTTTCCTCTTGTAGGCAGCTTTCGCAATAACCACACACACACACACACACACACACACACACACACACACACACACACACACACACACACACACACACACACACACACACACACACTATCTGTCCAAATATCAAACACACAAACAACATTTCTAAAAACACACAGATCAGAGGTGCAAACACAGAGAGATTTCAGAAGTTTCATGTTAATGTTTCACTTTAATGATAACTTTTGTCTTTAAACAGAAATAAAATATACAACACAAATGCAAAAAAGACATGATTTTTCAACATGCTGTTTGAAATAAAAATGAACGTTTACAGCAGAATAAACATTTTTACAACAAATCATAACTTCCCTACATTATATGATTTACATTTCAGTCGAGTTACTTGATTATATAAAGACCAAAATACTGAATACTAGGAGTGTGGTGGGTTAGAATTACGATTGTGAGCAGCTAGCTGTCCGCTGTTGTCCTCTAACAGCTCTGAATGTGGTTTCTCTCTCCTTGAATGTGGTTTCTTTTGTCTTTACGGTGGTGCCTCTTGAAGATCTTTTGTTCAAACCGGATATGACACTTCCCCTGAAGGCCCTAGTTTTTTTTAACAGACCTCATTTCAGAGTGGTCTTGTAAAAGTTTATCTATGAGTTATATTAGATTAATGCGTACGGATACAAACACTGTCAGTATATCTGCTCCTGTCCTGCAAGCTTGAAAACATTACCAGATATTGTGAATGTAGTAGAACTGATAGCTTAAACTACAAACTGTGGAAAACACAAAACGTAACATCAAAATGTAATTCTTCATCCATCTGCAACCCTTTTCTTAACAGTTATTATTTTGCTGTATCTGTCAGCCTCAACGTCTGAGAACCTGGATCGTTTTCCTTTAAGAAATGAGAAAGAAATTCAGAGATCTTTAATCACAAAACCACAAATCCTGTTTTCTTCCTCTCTTCTTTGCTGTGATGTGATGTGTGCGAGCGAGCGGCTCAACTGTCAGAGTTCACAAATGGTTAGCCTGACTGTTCGCATTATTACTCTGATTATCATCAGTTGTCTGGCTGGACTGAGACCCTTGCTTTTCTTTCCCGCAGGAAATCATCCGTTTCCAGAACTCAAAGTACGCCGTCTTGATCTTTTCAATCCTGAACGCGTACACAATCGGGTTCACAGCTGAGTTAGCATGAGAGAGAAGGATGCCAAAGTAGAACGCTGCACCCGATACGTGACTCTCAAAGTAAGCGATGCAGTTCGTGATGTGGAGAGGGAGCCAGCACAGGGCGAACAGACCCAGAACCAGAGCCAGGGATCCGGCCAGGTCTCGCTCTTTCTTCAGATAGTTCTGACACTGCTGTTGGAAACCGTTACCGGGTTTCTCTCGGAGGCTTCCACGAATCGTACAGAAGACGTAGCCGTAAAGTACAATCATTACCAGCAGAGGGACGAGGGTGCAGAGGAAAAAGTTGAAGTAAACCAGATAGGAGCTGGTGATGACATCCTTGAAGCGGCAGATCATCGTAGAGTTGGCTGTCTTTAATAAGGATTGGTGGTTGTACCATCCGAACATAGGTGTGAAACTCAGAGGAATGGAAATGAACCAACATGCTGCGACCACGAGCCAGGAGTGCTTCTTCGTTACCGTCCTTTTGTACCTGAAGATTTAAGAAACACAAATTTCATGTCATCATTGTTGGTAAAGGGTTATTTTCACAGTATTTTCATGTTTCACCATCCAGGAAAGATTCTTACCTTAGAGGGATGTAGACCCGCAGGAATCGGTCCACTGCGATGGCCACAAGACACAAAACTGAGACAACGGTGAAGAGGATGACCGCACAGCTGAGGAAGAGACAGCAATGAAACGAAGTCTTCAATTCTACAACCATCACCACAGCGAACGGTATGGTCACACACCCGACCATGAAGTCAGCCACAGCCAGAGACACAATCAGGCAGTAAGTCGGCTGCTTGATGCACTTTCTGGTCCAAAGAGCCAAAATCACCAACATATTTCCAAGACAGCAGCAAACGGCGAGAAATGCCTCAAACAGGATGTAGATCAGAGTGCTGGTATGCATCGTTGCTTCCATCAGACTTGAGTTTAATGGACAACGGTGCGACGTCTCTACCCCTGTGTCTGGATGTGCTGTGGTGTCTCATTTATCACACATCTCAGTGTTGTGAAACATTTGAGGAAGTCTGCTGTCACTCTGCTTTTCCTTTTTTTTAAAGTTGCACGATTAGCATCTGAATTTTTGAGGCTCAAACTACTTTGAAAGTCGTTGGGATGCAAAACTGATCTTGTAATATTTGACAAAGTGAACATTTCAAACTATTTTAATAACTTTATGAGATTTTAACATGTTTCTGATACCACAGCTGCAACATTAGAATGTGTGGAGTTTCAATAAGGAAATAAAACCAGCAGCTCTGAAAAACAAATCCTCTTACCAGGTCATACTTACATGGACATGTCACCCATATTAAAAGCCTTAAATGCACTTTATAAGTTATATTAAAAAAACTGACCCTAACTCTAAATTGTCTTGGTCATTTTGTCTAACTTTAGCTGTGGTTTCCTTTTGTACTGATGGTTATCATGGTTGTGGTGGTGAAATTGAGGCACAAATCAGCTAATGCTGCACATTTATGCATCTTCTGCCACACAGACCATCCGTGTAGAGCGGAAACTTAAAGACTAATCCACCACCACTAAGATCAGAGTTTTATTTTCTCCTTAAACTTGTTTTTCGACAGTTTCTCTTAATTATTTCTTATTCTTATTCAGGTTCAAATTATGAAATCAAACTTCTCACAAGGGTTTTTCTACAATGAATGACTTTAGTCTAATTAATTCTGTTTAATATTGTCGTTTTAATCTGGTACATTTTAGAAGACAAGCATAAAACTCTTTACTGGCTTGTTGACGCGGTTAGTCAAAACCGTGATTGTTAAAACTAGAATCTGGAGGTTAATTCTAAGACGTCAAATTTGACCTAATTATCTGACCAGCTAATCCCTATAGATCTTAAACTTTGATTAAACTTTGAGTCAGAAATAGGTCATCAGTTTCCCACACTCATGGAGTCTGAGTAACTTCACAGGAAAATGTGCAAATAGTGAAAATAAAAATGTAACTGATTACTAATAAAACAACGTCTCAATATGGAAGTGATGAAAGTCACTGAAGCATGAGGAACTAGATGGAGTGTTTCCCAAAAATGCCTCTGTGGGTAATGAAACCAATGGAAGTAAGTTCATCCAGGAAACCGACTGACACTGTCGAATATCTGATAAAAATGTGTAAAATACCTTCAAGTGTACGTGTTTAAGTGGATCAGAGGTACTCTGTCTTTTCAGTTTTTACAAGATCCTGTTACAAACCTGTTGACAGATCGCCTCACTGTCATGTCAGTTTGTAGCATCCAGACAGGATTGTGGTCAAGGAGGGAACAATACTTTAGTGGTCTAGAGGACAAAAATCTGTTATTCTTGAGTTGTTAAAAAGTTATTTGAGAAGTAAAATTATTTCAGTGGAGTAAAAAGTGATGTGTATTTATCACTGATGAGAATCTTTACCCTGTCAGAGCAATCTTAGTCTGTCTATACCTCCTAAGAGTCAACCTAATTATCTTAAACTTCATTAAAAACCTCAAAACTAATGAATTATAAAAAAAAAAAAATAAGAAATTAACCCAAATGTGATGTTTGTAAATAAAGAAATGAGCTATTCAAACAAAAAACATTTCTTATACCCGGCAGTAAACATGGTTTTGTTGGTGTAAGGATTGGGCTTTTTTGAATAAGTGTGTATGTGGCATCCAAAGCTTTAGAGTCAGCCTCCAGTGGACATTCAAGGAACTGCAGGTTTTAAAACATAAATCATTTCTCAAGGCCAATGGTTTCCACTGAACAGCAACACATTCAACAGGTTGTACAACATGATCTTTTGTAAGAACACAATACAGAAAATAGCACCACCTTGAGGAGCAATTCATAACTGCTACAACTTCAGAGATTCATAGGAAAATAAAAACTGCAGTGAAGTCACACTCAGTGTTAGAAAAGACTTAAAAAGCTGGTAGCTTAACGTTTTAGCATAAAGTAAAACAGCCTGAAGTGCCAAAGACAAACTATGGAAACAATGAAGAGGAAGCAGCATATCAGACTGAGAAATGTCAGCTTTGTTTGTCTTTGGCGAATCGTCAGACAGACTTTTTACAGCTTATGTATCCACACACACGAGCGTAAAACAGCTGAAATGGGTCTGGGAGGAGAAACTCGAACACCTCGGCATACATGTCAAACATATAACGAGGAGTTTCTGTAGAAAATAGTTTAGCTTAACTCACCACATTATTTATCTTATTCAGTGTTATTCTTAATCTGCTTCACTTCCTGCTAGTTATGATGAGACGACATAATGAAAAACTGCACCTTTAAGACTGAGAAGATCTGAAGACTGAGATCAAACTGATTCTGATCAAATTCAGAACCCTCACATTTTTACAAATGTGAGATTTTTTATTTACATTTTTGTCTTTAAAAGCACAATTTCTGTTGGAGTGGGAATTAACAAAACTTTTAATTATTGTCTTACACATAGCTAGGGGGGTTTAGTCATTACCTCTGCAACTGAACTAATTCTTATGCATCTCATGGTACACAATGTTGGTTTTTAGGAGTCGCCTCGATGGTGAAATTGTTCTTTTCTGTTTTTGCTGCTGATGTTGATTGATCGTGCAGGTTATATTTTACTATTCTTATTTGTTTATTTACATATATGTTTATGTTTACAAGTATTTATCTTCATTTATCTTAAATATTCCTTAAGTATGTTCGAGCCATCGTCCTTAAACATTCACAGACAAATTGTTTTCAAATATGTTTTTCGGACTCTCACAGACATTCATACAAACCAAACGTTTCTGCTATTTTTGATGTCGTTAAAAAAAAAGAAAAAATCTCTTGTTGTAAGGATGCCTAGCCCATGTTCACACATTACAAAATGGAAGGTCCACACGAATGATCATTTTGACAAGCTTTACTTGTTACAGATCTGGGTTACAGCTTCATCAGGCCACAAGTGTAGCAAAGCATAACCGAAGCATAACAGAGGCGTACCAGAAGAGTAACTAACTGTGGTCTGAGACCGCTCAAGTAGATATAGTCGTCCGCGTTTCCAACCATTCTGCTTGCATCTTGTTGACCTACAGGAGAGTCCATATAAGGTAATAACAAAGCACAACATATTTTAAGGAGCTTTAGGTGAACATATGGAGGGTCCATAGAAGGAAATACCATGACAGAACGTATTTTGGGGACCTGTGTGATGTAAAATATGGGTACAAGGTTCTTTGGTTCTGTAGTATCTGAGGTATTTGAGTGACACAGCTCCACCACTCTAAAGGCTGACATGACTGGCTAAAGAAACTCATCCTAACACTTGTTTTACTTTTCTTATGTACAATAGGCCGCATAAAAAACTAAGGTCTCTAAAAGCGTTTTCTTATAAAAGAATTAAAGTCCTGGTGAGGTTATATCACGAGAATAAAGCTGTAAACACTTACAGCTGGAATGTTCTGAGATTAAAGGCATTTTGTTTCAATAAATTAGGTAATAGAAAAGTCATAATATTATAGGAATAGAGTTTTACAGCCACCCAGTCATGAACAAAATGTGTTTGGTTCCTGCTAGTTTGTCTGTTCTGAGCTCCTGTAGAAACGTAACAGCCTCCAGAGTGAGGAGCGGCTACTTCTATAAAATAAAAGACTTTTCCGAAACCATCAGAAATTCAATGATTGAGATATGACAGTCAATATAAACTAATGCAAACATACTCCCACATATGTCTTTTTAAATATGATGCTAAATTCTACATAATGGACCTTTAATAGACGAAGCTCCTGGCCAAAAAGAACCAAGATTATGATCCAAGTTTACGACTCAAGGAGATGACTAACGTTCAAAAGTCTGTGAGAGGTTGGCTAATTCAGCAGATTATTTCAACAGGAACATGGGCCAATAAACAAAAGGAATACTGGTCCAAGGACTGTTTTTTTAAGTTTCTCAGGTTAACACAGGAATCATTTCAGTCCTCGACACAAACATAGACATCCCGTCAGGAGGGTCATTATGCTGTGAGTGAAATAAATTGTTCACATTGCACGGCGGGTTTCGTTAATTGGAGCCTGTAATAGAAGCTTTCCTGTCTTGTAATCCCTGTGACACATGAACCAGCGGATCCCTGCAAGGCCGTAATCAAATCTATGACTTCTGTTTATGAATCGTGATGTGTTGTTGTGGGCTGCAAAGAAGAAGAGAGACAACTGCGGAGGGAACTCAGGAAAGTATACAGACTGTGGACGTTATTAATGGAAAATATGTAGGGGAAAAGAGTTTGGATTTCACCGACACCAAAGTAAAACTTATTTTTATGACATATGTGAGAAAAATCTTGAACTATCGGCACAGTCTTGAACCAAAAATGACTAAATCAAAAACAGCAGCGAAGAAACGGCGACAAACGAGTGGATGAAACTTTTTAACATGTTTTGCACAAACTGCACTTTAGTGATAATGCATGAACACTCCTGATCAAGCTGACGAAGATGAGAGGGATTAAAGAGTCCTAATGAAACTGGTCTAGTATGCATTTATGTACACTTTAATGCACTGAACGGGGGCCTTGTCTCAAAAATAACCTGAGTCATTGCTTTCCCCAGAAAAAAGGACGAGTAAAGTGCTCACACAAAATTTACTTCCAGTCAGACAATCTGCTTCCTCAAGCAACTGGAGACCATCTCAGTGATTGCTTGCTCAGTGATGCCAGACTTTTCATGCTCAGACAGACAATTAAATTAAGTTTTTCTAAGTAATTGGACTTTTGGATCCCATTCCTTCACCTGCAGTTAACCCTGCAGACTTTGAGTTGTTAGTTTTATGAAGCCTGAACGGAATAAAGAACCACAAAAAGGATTGAATTAAACTATAAGCCCAGCTTAAATGTGCAAATTGAAGCGACATAACTGCTGACACAGGCAGATGAGGTTGATTCAGTGGACTGAGAGGACTGCGTTCGAAAGTATGGGGTTAAAACATTGATCTGAAATTGGAGTTTTACTAATGTTGTAAAAGAGAGGAGCGATAAATCAGACCTCAGACAGTCTCAGCCCGTCTTTACATGACTCCAACTATCCTAATGTCTCTTACATATTGATGTTGTACCAAAAGAGTGAAAGGAAATGCATGAATCACACCATCCATCCATTATCTGTTTCCAAAACCAGAGGATGACACACAATAATTGATCAGCATTAGACGAATTTTAGAAACCACAACATGAAAAAAAAGTCGTGTTTGACGAGAAGAGGAGCAGCAGCGTGGGCTGATGATTTTTGATGCAATATTAATCTAATGTTTCCACAGCAGAATGAGATTCACTCAGCTGGGGTCAATAATGAACAACACAAGCAGTCCAGTGTTGACAGAAAGGAAATGTAGAATTATCGTAGCAGAGACTTAAAATTATCAGTTGTTTGGAGGGTAGGGGATGTTATTGTCACCCATCATAATCAAAATAACAGTCTAACTGTTCCAAAATAGTCACATTCAATCACTCTGTTCAGTGTCCAAATACTCACGATTTTGTTGCATCCATAGACTGTTTATAGAATGGACGCCATCTGCCTCCTCCCTGGGTGAAGCCACTCCGAGAACAGCACCCTCTGGTGACGGGCTGCAGTATAGGTCATAAATCCCGCCTCCTTATGGAGCTGTGGACAAACTTTATAAATGAATGACACAGAATATAAATGTTTCTCCCCCCTGGTTGTGATGTTGACATGTAGTTACTGTCAGACTGGTTTGTGCTCAAGTCCTCTTTTTTCTGTACAGCTCCATTTTTAAAAGTTATTAGGGGGTTCATGTTTTCTATGATTGACACCTGATACAGCCTATGGGAGGACAGAGATTGCGTAGCTCACCCAGGGCCGAGCGTCATCACAGTGACTCTCCCACCAAATGCGTACAACGCTACTGCAGAATGTTGGTTTCAGGAAATGAAGAAAATCGCGGAAATACCGAGAGCTTTTCGGCTTCAAATCCATATACTCACGAGAGGCGGAACCAAGTTGTCCATAATAAATACAGTCTATGGGGGGCACTAATGAGCCAAGTCATGAGACCTTTAGGCCACCTACAATTTAAAACAGTATTCATAATAACTGACAAGGAAATAAAGAGTAATCTGACTTCACTTAGTGACATTTATTTTAGACACAAAAATCAACTTACTCCCACACTATGATTCCGCTTCCGTTCACACCCTCCTCTTCAGCGATGCTCATTTTTTCTCAATCAACTTACTGATTGAACATGATTGACAGCCAATCAAGCTCATTGTTCAGAGACAAACGTCACTCAAACTACGATTGGATGGAAACTTCATGTGGTAAAAGACGCCTTTAGGGTTCACAAATAAGAAACTGAAAAATAAAATGTCCAGCAGACTGACAGTCCCATTGCACCACACGTACAAATACAATTCTTATCATACAAATAGGATAATTATTGTACACCTGGCAACCTTTACAAGCACAGTTAATTATGTTATTAATGTGGTGTAAATACATACACAACCATCAAATATTAAAACCCATAACAAAGTTAAATGTCCTCACAGTCTCATGGAGCTGACTCAAAGTAAACACTGTCAGCAGAAAGATGTCGGCACTTACGATAAAGTTTATAACTCTTCATAATAATTAACAGCAGCTTAAAGAAATCAACTAATCATTATGATCTATATTACAGATGTTTTGGTGCTTATTCTATTTCGCTGCCTGATTATTTCCCAGCATGTTTTTTGTGTAGTTTGTCACCTAGTAGCGTTTTCCTACAAACGGGTCACTCCCACGCCGTTTGTGAAACTCAGAACCTGTTGGTTTTCTTTCAGCTGCCGAAGTTGTAAACTTTATTGTAAGTGCTGACATATTCTACCCAACAGTGTTTACTCAACGATCAAATATAATGTTATTCAACAGACTAATCATGAATTACAATGACGACGACACAAAACTGCTGCTGGTTAGCTGCTGCGTGTCAATAACCAGCGTTAGACCGAGGTAGACGGCACATAACAAAGGTCGCTCAGATCCGCTCATGATGTTCATTCACAGTCAGTGAAGCGAGGCAACAAAAAACTTCATGAACAACAAACTTATCAGACTCTGAGCTGCTGCCTGTACAGGACTGAAATCCGGCCTCCTCTTATCACAGATCCTTATCAAACATGGTGTCTGTTACGGTAGTTTCCAACATGCTGGTTTATACCCAAGAGTCTGTTCTCCTGAAAATTTAGTTTTAAATGGTTATTTTACTTTTAAAAGATGATTGATTGACGGCCCCGCTGACTGACGGAGCGTCTGCGATGTTCTGTCACGGTTTGACGGAGTAAAGGATTAAAAAGTGGGAGAAAACACGACGAACACAAACACAGGAGCGGCCAAAAGCGTCATCTTCGAATCAACACAGATATCCGTTCTGCTGTGGTTGAACCACGCTGCTGGATCTTGAATGTTTGGTTCAGCTGATGTTTGCTGAGCTCAATGCGTGTCTTGGTTAGCAAAAAGGGTGTGCTGTTTTCGAACTTTACGCCGAGCCCTGCCCGGGTTACACCAGCGTGATATATCCTGGCTCTACATCTCACGATGATTGGTGAAGGGTTGGCACGCTGTTCTTTCACACTACGAACCATCGATCTCACTCTGACTAGGAAAAGTAATTTGGTAGAAACTGAATTTAATTTCACATTATCTGCCACAATAATGAGGGTGTATTTTCATCACATGTGAACTTGGATAAATGAATCATGGGATAAATTCGCTCTACTTAGCATCCAGCTCGATGGCTCCAGTTGAGGATTTACGTGATCTAACCTTGTTATCAGATACATCCTGCTGGTTTCAGACCACAAACCACATACAAACACTTACTGTGAGCCAAAGTACTACTGCAGAGAGCTGCGGACAGTAAAGTCCCTCCCCTCGGTCTTTTATGACTCGCTTCCACAGAGAAGTGAGAGAGTGAATAAGTGAGCAGAGTGGGGATGTGGAAGTGTGGTGATGCATTGGTACGGAGACCTGTGAAGAGTACCAACAAGATGCAAAGGATTAATTATCCGGTTAAGAGAACTCATGGTGTGAAGATGGCAAAGAGAGAAACAGAGCTCCTGTCAGCTGGAGAGCAAACATAGAAGAAGATGTGGAGGTAGGACTTCCAGAGAAGAACTTTTTCTGTTTTAAGTCTGAGTAAAGGTAAGCAAGATCCTCACAGAGTCAAGATGTCTTCCTCTCCGGGTATCAAACCTCGGGAAAACGTGGACATGTTGTACATCTCCATCGAGACAGCCATCGCCCTGGCCTCAGTGCTGGGAAATGTGCTGGTGGTGCTGGTCGTGTGCGTGAACCGGGCTCTCCGCAACACCACCTTCAGCTTCATCGTGTCTCTGGCTGTGGCCGACATCGCCGTGGGCGTCCTGGTCATCCCTCTGGCCATCATCATCAGCCTGGGGTTCAACACGCAGTTCTACACCTGCCTCTTCCTCTCCTGCCTGCTGCTCGTCATCACCCAGAGCTCCATCCTGTCCCTGCTCGCCATCGCCATCGACAGATACCTGAGGGTCAAGATTCCCACAAAGTAAGGAGCTTTTATGAGACCAGTGGGGACAACTCTGCTTTAATGTGTCTGTCATTCGGTTTTCTCAGCCTTCAGATTCACAGAAATGGAGGTAAACAGGAATTTTGCATCATCTTTGCTTTGGACAGAAACTCAGCATCCTAAAGTCATTTGCCGTCTGTTTACAGTAAAAGAGATCAAATATTTATAGCCTGCAGTGAAAGGAGGTGGGAGGGAATCCAACCCCTGTCTGGTTGAAGTTCCCTGGTAAAATCCATTGCAGCTTTCTTGTTACTCTGCTCCTAACTGTTTCTTCTGTGTGGTACGTGCAGCTTATTGATCCAGAATTTACTCGACACAAGCGGCTTAAAATCGTGTGTTTCATCTGTTTCAGTCTTGATAGACTTGGAGACTTTATAGAGTCTTTTAGACTTGAGTGTTTGGGGAATTCACTAAACTTCCTAAAACTAAATCAAAAACTTGTTTTAATGAAAAAGCTCTTCCCTTTGAATCAACAGTTATCTGTAATTTTGTGTTTTCAACAAAAGTGCAAAATCTGAGGAGCCTGTCGGTTCAGGTCAGGCGCTGATCTGAGTTGATGTCCAATGTAGCTCCATATATCTTTGCATTGGTTTAATGCAAATCAATGGGCCAGACATCAGGGGCTTTTAAGCAAATTAAAATGTGCCTGTCTGCTTAAATGACTGACATGAGCGCTGTTTGTTGAGGCGGTTTGGCAGTCGTTCTGTGAGCGATTTGTTTATCCACTGGAGCTGGATGTAGAAGAAAAAACTTCTGTTTTGTCGATATGTTGGAGATTGTTCAAAGAAATGTCAATAATCCCAACAACTGAAAATCCTTTCCTTGTCCCGTCTCAGGTACAGCACCATCGTGACCCAGGGGAGGGCGTATGTCGCTGTTTGTCTCTGCTGGATCCTCTCGTTTCTGACTGGACTGGTTCCCATGTTTGGATGGAACAACCTCGACGCTCACAGAAACATCAGCCGCTCCAGTAAAATCGTCTGTGAATTCACCACCGTCATGAGGATGGACTACATGGTGTACTTTAACTTCTTCGGCTGGGTGGTGGTACCGCTGTCCGTAATGATCGCTCTGTACGCCGAGATCTTCAGGGTGATCCGGAAACAGCTGAACCGGCGTGCCGAGGCCACGTGTGACAGAGACAGGTACTATCAGAAGGAGCTGAAGCTGGCCAAGTCTCTGGCCCTGGTGGTCTTCCTCTTCGTGGTGTGTTGGTTGCCGATACACATCATGAACTGCATCGATTTCTTCTGCCCGGAGTGTCACGTCCCCAAGTTTGCCACTTATGTTGGCATTTTCATGTCACATGTGAACTCGGCGCTCAACCCGCTGGTGTACGCGTTCAGGATAAAACGCTTTCGTGTCACGCTGATCCAGATCACTCGCAGATGCATGTTATGTAAATCCACAGAAGCGACTCCGACGTGTGCGAGCACGCCAGGCCAGACGGAGAAAGTGGACCTATAAACTTGTTCAATGGACCATGTGGTTTACGCTCAGATTATTTGGCGATGAATCTCTCGGGATTACGTCAAATTTGGAGCATCTACCAAACAAACAATCACCACATCATTCATGGAGCTCGTTCATTTTGGACCCGTCCATATTGTTTGAAAATGAGACTATAGTCAGAAAAGAGAAATCCAAGCCAGCCTGCATTTCTTTGTTTGAACTCACCGCTTCTTTATTTGATTCATATTGAATTATTTTACACATACTGTCATCATGATAGAAAGAAACATTTCATGTTTGAAAAGCCTGTTGGTATATTTGCCAGAATAAACAGTTAAAACTTCTTTACCTGCATCAAAAGAGTTTATAGTTACATAAACCAGATGAGCCCGAATGTTGAGAAGCGAGGGCAGCGCTCAAGCACAAAAAAACTGCAGTTCCTTTAGTGACCACTAGAGGCTTGCTGCAGAGGACAAAGTGACCCATTAGAGTCAACGCAAACATGTCTTTTTAAAAAGTTGAATTCAGCATGTTTACAGCCTGGGGTGGGAAACGGTTTCAGTCTCCGTAGTTGTGTTTGTAAAGCTTGTTCTGGGTGGAAAGTTTGTGAAAACTCCTCCACTGTGGCTTAGAAGAAATGCAAATGCAGGTCCTTGGGTCAGCCCAAAGTATTTCTAATATGGAGGCTACCATCGTTGGGTCTCCTCAAATTTAGGGACATGATGTTGGTGCTTTTCCATCTTGCTCTCCACCCTGCCTCCACTAAAACCACTAAGTTTTATCATGTTAACAAACCACACTACGATCAGCTGAGCACAAGACAACAGCGGGGACATCAAAGATGGAGGGGTACTTTTGATCTTGTCACGTTGTGAACTTTAGAAACAGAACAAAGGAACAGCCCTATGTCAATATTAGTCCAGGCACACTACCAATATTAATGCACCACCACCTCTATTTGATGACCAAGTTAACCCGCTCTGAAACCAATAACTACTTTCTCACTTTGACATGACCAGCATTTTGACAATCTCTCTCCAGACAGCTGCATCTTTTTCAAAGTCTCTGTAGTCAAATCTGGAAAAATACCCTCATCTGAATGTCAGGTATCATGTTAAATATGTTAGTATGCTAACTTTGGTGTGTTTGATAGCTAAGACTAACGCAAACTGGCAAATATCTAATCTTGGTCACCAAAGTAATGACACTTTTAGATGTTGACTAGGGTGACCATATTCTAAATCCCCAAAAAGAGGACACTATGACATGAGGCGGAGTTGCGCAAAGTAAATTTTGAGGATTTTTCGGTTCGGGTCGAGTGTTTATTCACACGTTTCTAACTCAGTTAGTCCATGCTACAAAAACGCAAAATTTCTATCCAAAACCCTGGACATTTGAAGGATTTTATAAACTTTCCCAGACGGGACCCAAAAAAGAGGACATGTCCGGGTTAAAGATGATGTATGGTCACCTTAATGTTGACTTCAAGATGGCGCTACATGAGAAGCTAAAGGCCCATTAAAGTTATCACAATCCATCCATAGAAGAACATAAACATGTGTAACGGGTTTCAAAGTGTACTTATAGTGTGAAGATATGTAGCTTTGAGTCCTTGACCTGGTGATATACTGATAAAGAATCAGGGTTTAACTCAATAATTCTTGTACAAAGCTTGATGTACAGGTAGATAGATATCTCATTCTGGACAGAAGTGGTGGACCAACAAAAGGACGGTCCACAGTCATGTTGACATGACGAATGTTTAGATTTAATTTGGTTACATCGGACACTCACATGGACTCCAGCTGAGAGATGAACCAGAGAGATTTACTGACTTGGATCAATCGCCCTCGAAGCGAATGTAACAAAAGTCTGGTAAAAATCAAAGCAGCGCAGCCGTTACTCTTTATCACAGGAGACAGGCCCCTTTATTCAGCTTCATCAGCGAGTCTAAGACGTATTTCGTTAGCTGAAATGAGGCTCATAAGCATTGGAGTAAATTACCAGCCGAGCATTACAGCACACTGCGGTGATTTATTCCAGCTCTAAAGCTGCATACGTTCTGCTTCGTCATCACTTTGACTTCTGCCTGCTTTCTGTCCACGCCACATTACCTCCTCTCAGAGAGACAGTCCTCGAGGTAAAATAAGGTTTTATATGGTGCAGAATTTACATTTGATGTGAGTTTTGTGGGTTTTTCTGTCCACAGAGATATTTCCTTTGCGTAGATTCACCTGACAGGGATGCCGTGACCACCTGAAAGTTGAAGACTTTTACAAGATCACGTCTCTCTGAAACCATCGCCTTCACTTTGTAATGCTCTGTCTCTCCCTAACGAACATCTCTTTACTTATTTTACCATCTGTCACCCTTATCCTTGTTTAGGGATTTGAATCTGCTGAGTGTGGTCTAATCCTCAGCCCTCGTCTTAGCGAGGTAGGTGCGGTATAACCAGAGTGGCATTTACAGCCTTTGCGGTCCACACTCCTGTGCTTGGTGGCCTGCTGAATTCTGGAAAGAGTACAAGCATGGAGTAGATGAAGATACAAAGAGCCAGGAGCCTCCAGTTCGTTTGTACTTCTTGTTTTCATCCCAGAGTAATCTCCTTTGAGGTAAGACCTGTCATCTTCGTTCTGCAACAGCCGCAGCAGGGATTACAACGCCTCATGTTTGACACTATTTCCTTTAAAATGAACATTTAACTCAGAAAAACTTTGATTTACAGCATCGTGTATTTCTAAAATGGTTGAAACAAACCAAGCTGAGGGTGACCAGGACCAGCAGCCTTCAGAGGAAGAGCTCGATGAAGGAGAGAAAGCCATGCTGCTCATCAGTAAATACGCTGAAGCTCGGCGTGCGCTGCCCTGGGATCAGTGGACTCTCCGAGAAAAAGTCAGCTATTACATGGATCGACTCTTCCTCTTGTTCATCGTCTTGTTCTTGCTGGTGATAGTGGGAGAGTGTAGCTATAAAATCTGGTATGTGACCAACATGAAGAAGATAACAGAGTTCGTGTCGGACTTAGTGCTCTCTCTGTTCGGTTGGCTCTTCACCGCGGACAGACAGGAGGAGCTGGCTGAACTATAAACTGCACATAGATGGTTTATTTTTTAACACTATTGTTTCATGTGTTTCTTCAAATGTCCATTACAGAAGTTATTGTCTAACTGATCAGATATGCCAATACGTTTATATGCAAATGATGTACGAACAAACAATATGTTTGCTATTGACTTAAAGGAAATAAACAATGCTTGAAATCACCTGTCATTGTTCCTCTCTGCAGCAGAACTACACACAATCACCAGTTAGTTAATCATGTTTACAAATGTTCAAAGTTATAGTAACTAAAATCAAATGTTTCCTCTTGTTTTCTCACTTTTAATCTACAATATTTAGACTAAATGCCAGTTTTGTTTTATTCACTCTTTTTTGATGAGTCATTGAAACACTAAGGGTGAAGTAAAAAATCTACCACCCTCTCTGTTACATAGAACATACTGAATTTCTCTAATTTCAAAGAAAAATCTGTATTTTTTTGCAGTGTACTATCATAACAGAGAAATATGAGACAAAAATGGAGGAATAATGGACATTTGGCGCCATTTTAAGAACTTACAGTTACAGAAATGAACAAAAGATAAGTTAGTGACGGAAAAAGAAATGAAAAAAAATGATATAAGCTGAAACTCAAGGTCTGACAGTTTCTGTAGTTTCTCTTTTTGACAATATCCTTCATTATAACCTTCCTAATGAGTATAATTTAAAGTAAAAACGCTTTTTAAAGATAAGTTTAAAAGTATTATCCGCACAGCTTCGTTAAAAGGCTGTAAAAATATAATCAATTGTGAAAAAATCATGACTGATTTTCTTTCATGTACACAAATCTGTCACACACGCCCGTCATCCGATGGACCAATGAAATCACCGCATTCCACTCTTCTTCAACTTCCGGTCCCGCCTCTTTCTCTTTTCCGGAATTCTTAGCGTGACCGACGTTTCGTGTCTGTTTAGACTTAAAGTAAGTAAATTTCCTGTGAATTAGACCGTCTATGTCTGTTTTTTTTAACAGCTGACCGTGTTTCTGATGTGGTGTTTACAGAAAAGTCTGTTTTTGGATGTTGGTAACGGAGTATTTGTGTCGTAGTTGAAGCCTCTGTCAAAAATGGAGGACAGCTTCAGTGAAACACGCGCCATGATTTAGTCCGTCAGCTTTAAAAATCACATTTTTATCAGGAACAGGTTATCGGTCCGTTCAGAGGCCATGAGGAACCATCTAAATATGAAAATATAACCTGTTAAAGTTGGTCTTTGTGTTTTGTAAACTCGGGTGGGTGAGCTATATAATAAAAGCCAAAAGATTATTAACCCGGGAGCCTTAAATCCTTCATTATTTCATTAAAATTAATTATAACTGGAGTGTTGAATGAAGAGATAAAGTGAGACTGGGGTCTGTTTACTTACAGTGTTTACTCTGTTAACTCAGCTTCTCGTTAATATGATAGTTATAGTTAAAAATAAACCTGTAAACAGAGTAAAGATGCTCTGCAGCCACCTAGAGGTGAATAAAAACACTACAGTCCAATAACTCTGGACTCATTTAATCAATCAGGATGTAACTTAATCAGCGATCATTAACCTCCTCCTGTGTTGGCTTTTACTTCACACCCACCATGTTAAAGGTCGGTTTGGACTCGTGTCTTAAATCTGCTGTGAATTACACTTAAAACAATTCTCTATCATTTAATTTGGTTCTCATCTCTAAGTTACCTTCTTTGGCTTCATTATCAATGAAAATGTTGTCAGTGTACCCCTCACACAGACATCTATACTGAACTGATTTCACATGTCTGTCGTTTTTTGTGCAGGGAAAACATAAATAAGAAATTCACATGATTGAAGAGGATCTGACTGTCAGTGTGTTTCCTGTCAGTGTACATATGATTTCAGTTTTTGCTCTGATTATTAGATATTGATCTAACCGTGACCCTAACACAGCAAGTGCAATAATTTTAATAAGAGCATTTTATAATTTTAAAGTTTTGATGTAAAAAAGCTTATTTAAGTGGTTCTTCTAAGTATTTAGAGTGAAAAATGGGTCGGTGCAGACCCTAACACAGGAGGAGGGTTAAATAATATAACTGTATGTTAAGGTTCTCTGTTGTATCCAGTTCGATGCATTTATGCCGATTGTCATGAATTTACTTTAAACATTAACAAAATAATAAACCAAGAAAAGCCTCTTAGATGCACAAGTGTCCTCACAAGGACAGACAAAAATAAAGGTTGAGCACATTTTAACAAAGTTAGACGGACTGCAAACAAATATGACAAATGCAGACCAACACATCCAGGTTCGTTTATGAAATAGTGAGCAGTATAAGCAGTTACAACTTAATGTATCACCTCTAATGCCTCCAACTGAACTGCTGTTCCCTGTTTTGAGCTTCACTCAGGAGAGAAATCGTAAAAAACTGCTCTTGCAAACAGGTTAGAGAGTAAAGACTGTACCCACTGGTATTATCAAGATGAATGAAATCAAATAAGAGGGAGAGATGATACATGGATTTAATTATAATTAATTTGACATACATTTAAAATTTGATGGGGGTGTGTGGTTATTGCTTTTCTTACATTAAGCTGTCCCTTGGAAAAATAATTAAGGTGTGTTTGACAAATTATAGATAATTTAAGTAATAGTAATTTTAACTGACCGATGATTTGGTCAATAAAAACTGACACATACCCACGACAACGTCCAATCAGCTGTGTGGATTTAAAGTAGTAAAAAAATCTAATATCAGTGTTGTTATGTTTTGGTTATGAAGAACAATAATATTTGCACACGTGAATCACCTGTTTGTCTTTCTAGAATGCGTTACGTGGCCGCTTACCTCCTGGCTGTGCTCGGTGGAAACACCAGCCCCTCTGCAAAGGACATCAAGACCATCTTGGGCAGCGTGGGAATTGAGGCCGATGAAGAACGCTTAAACAAGGTACAAATAAAAATATGTATCAGTTTACCACAAAAACAAACACCCTGGAGATACTGCGCTGGTGGAGCTAATACATACATTTCTCTGCTGCAGGTCATCAGTGAGCTCAATGGCAAAGACATCAATGAAGTCATGAACTCAGGTACAGAGCCTCTCAGTGAACAAGTATAAAGATTCAGTGATCTCTGACATGACTGATGCCTAAAATGTCTTTATTTTTTCCTCACAGGCCTTTCTAAGTTAGCCTCCGTACCAGCAGGTGGTGCTGTGGCGGCACCTGCTGCTGCTGCTGCTGGGGCCGCTGGAGCTGGGGCTGCGCCTGCTGCTGGTATGTATACACTCATTTTTTCCTTCCTTAAATTTGAAAGCATTTAGCTCATAATTCTTAGGCTGCTCTGTGTTTTTGCTTTCACTCACACGGCCGTTTTACTAAATGATTCCTTGTCTCACTTTCAGCGGAAGAGAAAAAGGAAGAGAAGAAAGAGGAATCAGAAGAGTCAGATGAGGACATGGGCTTCGGACTCTTTGATTAATCTCCTTTCTCTGTACTTAAAAAGCAATAAAAACGTAAAAGGTTTACACACATCACGTCGCCTGTGTCCCTTTTTTAATAGCTTTTTAATCGCTCTCATTCTGCCCCCTGTGGAGATTATTATTCCCACAGACATCACAGACGCGACACGTATCCAGGAATGAACAGGAAGGACGTGGATGATGAACGCTGTTTGGTTACCGGCTAAAAATAGTCCAGACTGAGCAACAGCCTGTCATTATTAGGCAATCTGGACCTCATGTGGTCAGTCTGTCCTGCTGTTCGTTAGATAAGTGAAACCACATTATGATTCTGGTTTAAAGGACAAACCGTGACTCAGCTGTGAATATCCAGGTCACAGGTTGATGTTTTGAGGTCAACAGAAAACTGATGATGCTTTGTGATATCTGTTTAGTATGGAGGGGAAACATTCATAAATTTTAAGGAGATTAAATCGTGAACAGTCTTGCTAAACTCAGTTGTAACTAAAAACAAAAATGAAATCAAAAGCATTCATGAATAAATGTCTGAGGTTTGCTGAGCCAAGCCTCTCCTGTGAAAAATACCTCTGATACATGACTGTCGTGTCCCACAGTAGAGTTGTATTAATTAAAATGAGTCATGATCACAGATCATCTATTGTTGTGCTTCATATTCATTCAAATCTGACAGTGTGACGCCTCATTTAGTCATTTGATTTGACAAAAGTGATCAACTATGGTATCAGGAAATGTGGCTCAAAAATTTTCCATGACTTTTCCTCTGAAGTTACACAATCCATTTTTTTTGGCAGCCACTTGACTTAAAACTTTTCTGAGGAACTTTGTTGGCGTGCAGCTGCAGACTAACCTCGTGTCTCTCTTGTCTGCTAGTCTTGTTTCAGGTGTGAAGATAATGATCTTCACCTGCTGTCATGTAACAACCAAATTCAAACTCGGTGAATATTCAAATGAGGTTACAGAGTAACACGCTTGTTCTTTGGCCTGCTGACGATCATCTGAAAACTATAACATGTTGGATGTTTTAAGTCTTGTCGCCGGTGGGTTTGTTTTCTTTTGCAGGTCGTAAACAGACGGTAAATTTCAGTCAAGTTAAAACCTCCCAGAGTCATCCTCTTCTTCAGTAAATGTCGCCTCCTATGTCTGCTCAGTAGCTGCATTAACATGGGCATAAATGACCAGAATAGGGGCCCGATCGGAATAGAAAAGCGTCATGTTAACATGTTGATCGGAAGGTTCTGATCCAATTTGGCTCAATCCAAAGGAAATTGTATTCTGATTGAGAGGGGATGCCGATCGTTATTCCGATCGTGACTCTCTAACCGGACTCGGTCTTCACTCTTTGTGTTATGAGGTCGGTTTAGGAGGTTTCATTCCTAACACTTAACAGGTGTCGTTTCTGCTCCTTCGATAACATAACAAGGCGTAAATACAGCGTAATGATGTCACATCTGCCGCACAGTACTCTGGCCCAATTCCAAACCACCCCCTCACTGACTCATTGACTTAGGTGCGCGCTCATGTGAGCTCTGTAAGGGCTTGAGGGTTGTTCCAAATGAAATCGGTAAGTCAGCGAGGGCCCGGGAACGCCCCTTTCTGCACCCTTTCCGTAAGTCCGTACCGTTGGAGACTTTGGCTATGAAATTGCCCACAATTCATTGCGTTGTGGGCGTTACTGGAGGACGCCGACGCAGCCGGGGCCAGGATTTAAAAAGGAACGAGGGAATCGTCCGCGACAGACACCAAAAATGACGGAGATCATGGCGAAGAAGGTCAAGAAGTAGCAGTTCATTCAGGATCTAGGTGCACCCTTAATACTCTAACATGGATGTTCCGCATCGTGTATGGTGGGCGTGTGTGTGTGTGTGTGTGTATATATACATACATATATACACACACACATACACACACACACGCATGCGTTATTCTTATAACAAAGAAAATTGATTTTCACTTCAAACTTTTATCTGAAGCAATACATTTTATACTGAACTAACACTCTAAAGCAGTGATTAATTTCAGAATCTAGTGCTTCAACCTTTTAACCATTCAATATCACTTAACCTATCATTAATGCTGGTTTTCTAATTTATCAATCTAATCATTATTTATCAATTACCTGTTATCTATGTTCAAGAGCAAGTGTGTGCAAAAGGAGCGGAACAATGTTGGCCTTTCTTCTGCGACGTCGCTGGCCGCGAAATAAATGCAGAATTAAGAGGCCCAGAGAGGCAAGTGTCAGTCATCTTTGGTTGTCACGGCAACGTTGTCGTCTGTCGTCGAGGTAACGTGGCACGTCACAAAGGGCTGTTCCATTGCTTTTATACCCTTTTGGAGCCCTTAAACCCTCCCACACTCAAGCACTTACCAGCTGACTTAACCTAAGCTAATGAGGGTGCAGGGCTTGAGGGCTTAGGGTGGAGTTTGGAATTGGGCCAATCTCTGCCAGGACAGTAAGATAAGTGAGTAAGGGCGCCATCTAATGACGACATTTAACAGGGGGAAAACTCCTGAATTGGATGAAGTGAAACACTACCGTTTTTGTTGGTTTGTTGACAGCACAGGTGGAAATACAACTCTTCTTCTTCTTCTGCGGTTGTTTTAGCGAAATTTGACAACTCTGCGCATGTCAAAAGGGCTCTAATCTGAATAAAAGTCGGTGCATGTATACGAACGTCATGATCGGATTATTTGAGTGTGATCAGATTCAGATTTCCGATCCCTCAAAATTTTAATCGGATAAGGAAATTTTGCACACGTAAACACGGTCACTGCGAGTCCAGTATTTTAAATCCACATGGACTCATTTAGATTTCTGCAGTGTCTGAGTTGTGCTCCGTCTTTCTCTCTTTTGTTCGTCTCTCTCTCTCTGTTATCGTCTTCTCTCGGGTGAGCATGACTCCCTCGTGGGCTTATTAGCGGTTGCATGGTTTCAGAGGCCGGTCTCAGCTGTGAAGGTTTCCTGCCTGCAGGGGAAACCTGTTCCTGAGGTGACACACACTCATCATCACTGACGGCTTTCTGTTATGCAACACGATTGTCACACTCTGGTTTGTAATTACCCGAAGTTTAGATCTATAATCAATCCTGTCACCATCTTTACAACATATTTAACACACGAACACGTCTGATATAACTTTAAATGGAGAAGCTCACCAGAAGCTGCCTGTCCCCCTGAAGTTCAGAGTCAGAATTAAAACTGCGTTCAGCCTTTAAAGGTTCAGTCTGCAGTATTTTAGTGTCATTCAGTGGGACAGACTTGGTAGATATAAGAGATTTCAATTTCAAACCTTTGTTTACTCTTAAAGGGGGCGATGAGGTTTCCCATCATTTCCAACGTCGTTGAGATTACATCAGTAAAAAAAGTAAACATAAATTTACAAAAGAATGGAATCAGTGAAGACAAGATAATCTGAAGTGAAATGTTTCAAAATCAAAATCCTAAACTCTGCAAGTTTGTTGGAGGATAGTCCAAGAGTTCGGGGCATCATCAGAAAATGTTGTTTCTCCAAGTTCACGATAAACTCCAGGGAATTTAAAGTTTAGTAGATGGGAAGAGCGGGTCGTGTACGTGACAGGATTACACTCCAACAAGATTAATATGTAAAATGGGAGTTTATCAATGAGAGCCTCAAAAATAAACAAAAAACAACGATTTTTATGTCTCTCCTCAAGAGAAGATCAACCAACCCTCTGATACAGAATACAATGTTGACCATCATGTCTGTCATCGGTTATAAATCTAAGGGTGGAGTGACAGACAGAGTCTAGAGATTTTAAAGTTGAAGCTGCTGCATGTCTGTAGATTTCATCGCTGTCGTCCATAACAGATAAAAACACAGCTTCAACAATTCTTCTTCTACAGGACAAAAAGGAAACTGGATTTATTTCTGTATAAAAAGAAAACTTTCTGTCGTAACAAGAGTACAAGAGTTTTTACATGGTTCTTAAATGAGCTTCAACAAGAAGTAATTTCAATCTTGAATCTGACCTCTACATAAAGCGAAATATTCCCATTTCTACACACTAACTTGAAACGAGCACACTCCTCTGAGCTGCAGCTTAATCCTGATATCAACTCAGTTCTGAATACGTCTTTTTCCGTCTTTAAATGCATCTTTTTTTGTTGTTCTGTGTCCTTAAACAACCTGCAGGGCCGTGACAGGAGCCATCAAATCAAAGATATAAGACTCCAGCCTCCTGTTCTCTCTGTAATTACTGACAGCAGATCGATCCACGCCGTGCCTGCGGCTGCAGCGCTCACTGCTTCGACTTGTTAATGCCGACTATTACAGGAATGTGCTTCTTCCAAATGGAAAGGTGTGGCAGTGTTAAGCTTTTGATCACTCCTTTAACTTTCCTCGAGAAATGTAGGCCACAAAGAAATGCTGCTCCTCAACCTTTTTGTTTGTTTGTCTACCTTTAAGATGTTGTCTTCAGTACGACCTCTTACATTCCTCGACATGTGGTCGCTTGTTGGACTGAAGGGGGAATTTGGTGGTTACAGTCTGGTGTCTTCTCCTGGTTCCTGTCATACCGTCTGCTAAGATTTGAAGTATTTGGTATGATCCTTACAAGGGATTATGAAGAAAGTGTGGAGACCTCTGAACCCCAACACTCCCCTTTTAAAGGCGACTGACATGTTAGTCTGAAGCTGTTATAGTCCACAGTTTTAGGAGAAAGAGGAGGAAGAGGAGGAGGAGATCTCCTGAAATGAAAGCGTTCATGTCTGATCGTCGCAGCCTGTCCAAACAAGTCTTGATTTTTCTTTAGTTTGAAGAATGTTCGGAGTTGCAAAAGTGAGTGAAATGTACGATCAGAGGCTGAATCAGTGTGTGGCCGAGGCGCGGATACACGCCAAAATAAAACAAAACAGTGGGCGTTAAATTCGATTTCTTTTATTGTTATTTTTTAAATACAGGAATGCCAGCATTCACATCGACAAACGTACAAGTTCACAGTTCAGTTCAGCTTCTTCAAAAGGAGCTGTTTCCCATTTGAAAATCCTAAAAGTGTAAAAACTATATTGCACAGAGGTGAGTAGCTTATATACATCATCAGCTTTCATTTCGCTCAAAGGTCAAACCCAGTGATGGATTTGTAAAATTAAAATGAAGGCGCTTCACATTCATCGTGTCATTTGAAGAATCATCCGTTTGTGATTCTGGATTATTGCTGCATCTTTGGAGCGTGCGTCTTCCTCCTGAAGCTCGTCCTCCGTGTGAATGTGATCCGTCAACACTGAGCAGAGCACACACCCAGAGCTCACCGAGGTATTCGACTGGTTCTTCAGCAAACATCCCGAGGCTGCAGACTTTCTCAAGAGTTCGAGCGCAGAACAGTGAAAGTCAAACAGCAACGATTTGTTGTTCGTCAGCTGAAGTTTGTGGACTTTAACCCTCGATTCTCTTGAAGAAAAGAGGAATTCAAGCTTTCGACACATCCTCCTCGGTCCTTTCTGTGCTTCTGAGTCGTGTTTAAAAGTCAGTTTTCTCATTTCGCAGTGTTAGTCTTCTCTCTCTCTCTCTCTCTCAGTCATCGCTGTCTGACCACGGATGATCTGAACACGCCTAAAAAAGACAAAAGAAGTGTTGAACCAAACCTCTCTATGTGCTCTACTTCTATCTGCGGTTAGGCCTCTTAAATCGAGTTAAAACCATCTTTCATTCTTACCTGCTGGTATTCGAATCGGTCCTGCAGATAGCGGTTCCCCAGACCTGTGATATGACACACGTTCTGTCTGGACAGTCCGGCTACCCTGGCCGTGAAGTCCAGCGTGAACGCCAGTTTGACCAGCTCTGGAGCGGTGGGGAGGACGGTGGGAGGATTGTGGGTCGGCGTCCCTTCTTCCTCCAGGTAGGCGTCGGCCAGCTGCTGGAAGGAAGAGTAGGACATCCCCTGGAAGAAGTTGCTCAGGGTGGGGTTGTCCTTCAGCTGCAGGAGATAAGGAGAGGAAACGATCAGTCAGAGGAGGAGACTTTGACCGCCAATGAAATCTGTTTGGATGATGTCACAGGTCAAACTCGTAAACTTGGTCGATAATCAGTTTCAAACGAGATAGGAGTGATCTAGATTTACAGATCTACATCCTTTACTCAGGATCAGGTGACACATCTGACTTTGGTCCCAGTTTTCAAACACAACCTGAACCACATTCAGACTTTTATAGATCAATTAACCCAGATGACATTTACAAACGCACGTTAACATGTAGACTCTGTAATCTCTGCTTTCTGTTTATTGAGCATTTGAGGTCTGAGTTACAGTGATCGATCACTGATTACTGAAAAGGTGGGTTGTCAAGTCAAGAGTGAATCTACGTTAAAAAGGCGTTTTTCTTTCACTTCAGGAACTAAAAACCTTTTAGGGAACTCTGTGCATTTCAGCAACAGGAACTAGAGTCTAAATTAAGTTCCTGTTTATGAAGTGGCACAGAGACTTTAGGAGAGTCTGACGATTTCATTTACAATCAAAAAATGAGAGGAAGAGAGATTCTGGATTAAATCTGACATGACCTGATGAAATCTGATCAGTGAAATTATGTGTATATATGAATTTTGGGGGTTAGTTTAATCTTTTTTACGTTATAAGTAGAAATACAGTTTACACACAGACACCAGCTGAGCAGAGACGTAGAGATAACACAGGTCAGTGTGGTTAGTTTTCAACGAGGTCAAATATACGAGGGTGTTTTCATCATCATGTCAGATTAAACATGCTGCAGATACAGGAGATTTTTCTTTACTTTAATAAGAAGACTGTAAAAATAACAGCCTGGATAGTTTGTTTTATTCTGACTCACTATAAAGAGCCTCAGTTTGGGGACTTCAGTCTAAATCTAAAGCAGGTTCTGTTATTAAAGAAGTTTCAACCATTAAATTACTATTTTAAATCTATTATATTTAAGTGTTTTTTCACAGAGCAGGTCTTATAACCCGGCCTGATCGACTCTTTTTACACTCCTGCTTTTGTCCAATCAGAACACATCAAAATAATAAACATATAAAAGAACAGGCCGACCTTTACTGAGCGTGGAGTTTGAACTCTTTATGACCCGGTTTCATGATTCAGTTTAACAACTTTAATGTTCTTTAAAAAGATCCGAGTGTTGAGATAAAAAACCACCTCAGTCCTTCAGTTCTGGACTGAACGCTCAGTTTCAGTTTTTCACAGACTCTGTTTTTCACAGAGTTACACCCACCTTATTGTCGATGGCGTCACCCTGCTGCTTAGTGAGAGCGATGATCCTGTTGATGACTTCCTCTGAGAAAACAAAAGAGCACGAGGAAGATTAATCAACGAGCTGAATGACCCACAATGATCTGTGCGTATCACTTTAATAACAGAGAGAAAACATTGATCAGGTTTTTGAATATGCAGAAGTCTGACTTTGTGCTGCTGTTTGTGGTTTTCAGTGTAAAAAATACACTTCTGTTTTTAGACACACATGCAGCGTCACCGTCAGATAAAGGTCAGAAGAGCAGAAACGGTTTCTCACCATCAGAGAGCTTCTTCACTTCCTCTTTCTCTTTCACCTCGTGGACGATCTTCTCCAGTTCCTCTGAAACCTTCTCATAATAAGAGTACGTCGACTCCACACTGACGGCGTCTGCAAAGTAAATAAAATAAAGATGTTAATCTGCAGTGACAGTTTTCATGAGAGGCATGTTTGCAGCGTGAGTCTGATCCAGATCCTGGTTCATGCACACAGACTCACCCTGGACTCCGCTGATTTCTGCAGGACTCCCATTTTTGTTGACTTTGAGCTGTGATAACCGCCTCATAGAAAACCTTCTCTTCAAAGATTTCCTCCTGGTAGATTTTCGTTTCTGCACCGTCGCTGGAGTCGTGGGCAGACACGTGTTCACGATGTCTGATTTCTCATCTCCTTGGGAGACTTCGGAGATCTCCGGTGGACTGCTCTCCTGCTCCTCTTCCTCGATAGTTTTCCGGGAGAAAACACTGAACAGACTTTTCCAAAACGAGGGCTTCTTGCTCTTCTTGGACTTCTTGGGGGGTTTGTCGACCTCCTCATAGAGTATCTCAGGCTGGTTTGAGGGAGTATCAACCCCAGAAAACACACCGATCCCCTCAACGTCTAATCCTGCTAAGTGAATCGAAGGGTCGCTGGAGTGCCGTCTATGCCTTCTCGACCTCGGCACCCATTTTTCTTTCCTGGCTCTGCCCGGGAAAGAATTGGTCCCGAGGGTCCCGTCATTTAAGCTGAGGCTGCGCTTCACGTACACCTCCAGCAGACGGATCGTGTCCTGATGAGGGACGAAGATCAGCTGTCCATTATTATTGTTGTTCGGTTTTTGTCTTTCTGTCTGTGGCTCCATGTCTGGAAAAGAAACAAAAACACAAAAACAGCATTAAACCAAAAGCAGATACAACTAATTAATCAGTCAGTCACTTAAAAACAGGCAAAATAAGACATTGTCCCTCATTTCTTAACTTGTGGTGGAAGTTATAAATATTGTTTTATCTTATAAGACACTTCACATCTCCAGGGTTTAGACTAAAGATAACCATGACTTAAGGAAACCTGTATTTATAGGGTTGCAGCTGAAGACTATTTTGTCGTCTTTTATAATATGTAAGTGTGTGAAAACTGATAACTGGTGAAGTCGTCTAAATTACAGCATAAAGTGTCAGTGTTTCCACAAACGCAGCCAGGTATTTAAATTCATCGAACTGTGTAAAAGATGTTTTAGTTTAATAAATATTGTTGTCTCCTGTGAATGCCTGAATGTTGCACACATACACAGAGGTAAGGCATTTCCAATTCTGCTGTGCATTACATAACGACATGGACTGTCAGTGTTAACACGCCGATCCAGACTCAGTTACTGTCTGTAATTAACGTGTTATTATTAACCTGCTGTTGAGTCTTTTCTTACAGCAGGTAGTCAAGCCGCTGTGCTGTCGACAGAAAACGTCAGAGTGGAACTTTTAAACGGAACATTCCACTTTGAAAAACTCTAATCTGACCCAGTTCACATGTCAGAAGTAACATGAGTTTAAGTTTACTGAGCATACAGGAACAGCTGATCGGAGACCAGTGAGAAACCGCATCACAGAAGACAACAGTGCCCTATAATTTCGAGGTTTTGACTCACCACAGACCTGTAGATTTAATTTACTGACTTACTAACATACGTTTTTAAAAACTGTGATGAACAGAATTAGCTTTTTAAAACTGTCTCCTGCCTCTTTTTAGTCGTGGTTTCAGACCAAAGTGGTGAAGCTGCACAGGATCGATTTAAAAAACAAATCTATAAAGTCAAGATCATAATTTTATTGGATTTATTTGATTTCCATTCGACAACTGTTAATACCTGTTTAATAAATATAAACAATAAAAGTCTTCAAACGCAAAATGAAGACATTACAAACATGCAACTATAATTGTGATTTATTGCAATTAACTATTCAAAATCTGCAAATTGATCACTATAAAGCATTCATTGTTTAAAAGCTCCATGACAACAAAGACACCTCAGTTCCTCTTCTACTCTTTGTAAAAGAACAAAAACCTGCAAACACATTTAGATGGTAGGAATTAAAATCTAATCATTTACAGAAGATTAAACCCAAATGATTATTATCATTAACTATAAAGGTTAACAATCTTTGCAGTTCAACAGGAAGTGATCTGCAGGTTTATCAGTAAAAGGTCATCCTAACAGCATTTTCCGTCGTCGATTAATCGTTTGATCTGAAGTCGAAACAAACATCCCCCCTCTGTCCTCTCGAGCTCATATTTACTCACTTAAGTAATCCAACAAAAACATCTTATTTGTACCAAAAACGGAGGAAAAATCTCTTAATTTTCTTTAGAGGTCGTTAATGAATCTTTGCTGATAAATGAGTAATCGACTAATGACTCTGATTCACAGTAAGTCAGTGATGGTTGTATCTGAATGACCTGGTTTTACTGCAGAGTAACTCGTTTCTGGACTAAAGTGTTTTAGACTCAGAGAAAGCGGAAGAAGTTAAAAAGAAGAAGAAGTCAAATGTCTGTCTGTCTGTCTGTCTGTCTGCAGAGTAATCGATAAACACCGAAGCTTCTGTGTTCAGACTCACCTGAAGTGTTCATGTCCCGCTGACGACCGTCGGGGTGTTGACTTGTTGTTTTGACCGAGTCCTCCTCTCTGCTGCTCGGTTTTCTCTCTCTCTCTTTCTCAGGTGAGTCTACCTGCTCTTTCTCTCTTTCTCTCTCTCTTCCTCTCCTCCCATGTAAGGACTCGTCCCTGTCCTCCCGCCGCCCTCGGACCCGCCCCCCTCGGTTCACCGTCACATGCAGACGGAGAAAAGGGCGGAGGATGGGAAAAACCTGCGCTCCTTATTTCCGTGTTTTTCCGTGAACGTCCTCAGATTTCAGTCGTCGATGATCTTGTTGGCGTTTCGGTGTTCAGTCAAATTTAACAGGAAGTAAGATCAGGTCATTTCCCCTGAGGGATGTTGTTTTGAAGAATAAACGCTGTCCTGAAGTCTTCAATCTAAGGTCACTGTAGAAATGTAGTTTGATTAAAATGATCACGGAATAATGTGAAACTCTCATCAAAGTTTCTCTAAAACAGCTTAAAAACTCACAAGTTTGAGACACTAACTTACATTTTGAAGATTGTGGTTAAACTAATTTTGCAGAGTAGAAGTAAAGTTATCAAATAAATGAAGATCAGGAGGAAAGGTGAAGATATCATCCTCTAAATTAAAGTGAAAGAGAAGTCTGTGTGGGGGAAGGGAACCTGCAGGTGTAAACATGTAGTTTGTACCAACAGAACAACAACAAGCTTGATGAGGAACATGTCATTTCTTGGACGGGTGCTCGATGAATCATATTAAAAAGGAAAAATAAGAGAAGAGAAGAGACAGCACCCAAACAAGGAAAACACAACTGTACGCACTTTTTATGAAGTTAGCTTCATGGTCGCCTCTGAGGTTCAGTTTGAAGGTTTCTGAGTTAAGATTCAAACTTTTCATCGATCCAATATGAGTAAAATAAATTCTTAAAGCATCTCACTCATTATTGCAATCATATAACTTAACATGTGTCAGCAGATGTGGTGAAAATAAAGTTCCTGTTTGTGTTCAGATTTCTAATCTAGCTGGACACTTGAATTGTTCAAAGTGTCCATCTTTTTAAAAACAGATATTTAATGAATTGAACTCAGTAAAGCAAAGTCAGTAAACTGGAGTTGGAGGAATATCATATTTTGCTTTAATAAATACAGATACAGATACATTTGCTCAAACTGCCTGAGCTTAAATAATAATAATATGACGAGTAATGATGGTAAATTCTTTCTTTCTTGAGTTATAGGGATCAAAATATTTGCTCTATCAGGGCAACGACCCAAATCAATCACTCAACATGATCACCTTCATAATTTGGTTAATTATTCACTCAGCTTTCTGACTCCGCCTCGGTTTCTCCACGTTGTGAAATAACATCTTTCCCCTCCACTTTACGGAGAATCTGATCTGAGCTCAGCATGTATAAGTCATCAGTGATAAGATCAGGGGAGACGTGTTGTTATTGAGGGGATAAATGTCTGTTTTCTTCCTGGTTTCTATTTTGACTAACAGTCGGCGTGATCACATATGACAGTACCTCTTATCAGACTGGTTTACTGGAAACATGAGAGCTTTCCGTAACTGAAACTAACTTCACAGGGTTAGAGGCGACTAAAGGTGAGACTGGTTTTTAAGTTAACAAAGCAGAGGGTTTTGTTTGTTGTACATTGCGTGCAGAGTCAACATGAGACCATATATTCAGTCCTCAGTGACCCTACGACCCCAGGTGCCCTATTTATCCCTTTGTACACCTTTGTGCTGTCAAACCTCCTGCCTAACCCTCGGAGCATCTTGGGGACATGAGGGGCCACAAAAACAGAGAAACAGGCTGAGAAACGGCCACAGAGAGGTTTGTTTTAGTGTAGTACCACCAAGCAGCCACAGGGAGTCAGTCTAAACACTGTGGAGTGACCTCTGAGTGCTCTCTCAGACATCAGATATCAAATGTACCACCACTGATTCTCAACAGAAAAATATCATGTTGTTAAAATTCTGAGTCTTTTTGCACTTTTCTCAGTTACAGTGATCGGACACTTAAAGAGAAACATGTCTAAAAATAGGAGTCATAGTTCAAACTAGTGAGCAATTTAAGAAATAGTTCAGACCTGTTACACCTCAACCAGGAGTGGCATAAACTCCTCCCATAAGTGATGGTGGTTAAAAGGAAATCAATCAATCAAAAGATCTGTCATGACTTCATTTCTGTTTTTTAAAACTTAGTAAAACTCAGATTAACAGGGAAACACTAAGAGTTTAATTCATCACTCTGTTTTTACTCTGGAGGCTTTCTTCGACTTAGGAGGTGAGAGCAAGGTTAGACAGGATATGAGAGATACAGTATAATATGATATGATACAACCATACTATACTGCATGAAACTATATCAGATATGATACAATACAAAGCTGTACTACATAAACTGATGATTCTGAACATTTTACTATTACACAATATGATACAATGAGATTTGATCAGAGTAAAATATGATATGAGACAATATTAAATGATACGATTGGAACGTTGATATAATAAAATATGATACTCAACCAAAGCTTGTCATACCACAACATATGAAATCACATGATGACATCAGGTATAATGCACTATGATATGATAGGATATATAATATGATAAAATATGATACTCACCCAAAGCTCGTCACACCACACCATCAGAAATTATATGATATCAGGTAGGATGCAGTATGATATATTATACATGATATGATGAAATATGATACTCACCCAAAACTTGTCATACTACTACATAAAAAATTACTCGATGAGATCAGTAAGGAGGCAGTATGATGATAGGATACAAAGCTATACTGAATAAAATGATATGATTCAGTTTGACTTGATTTAATAGGATATGATAAATGATCACTAATATGTTACCCATGATCTGCACCAACATGAGGATATCATGATGTTTTTGGAAATTCTGAGTTAACAGATAAATGATAAGAGAATCATGTAAACAGATCCATAAACTGAAGACTCATTGTGCCCCATGATAGTGAAACTGAATTATCATTTGGCCTCAGTGATCTGATAACCAGGGTGACGCTGTAATAACTGATCGATATTTTGTCCTTCCTCTCTGCAGCTTTCTCTCTAATTGTCAGAGCGGTTGAGGTAATCGTCTGTGTGCTGTTTTCTGAATTCATCTTTGTAATGTACCACAGCTGGACGCCCGTTAATGCGTCTCTAATTAATCCTTTTAAAAGACCGTGTGAGGAGCGAGCGGCCCTGTGGTCACCTGAAGGCAACACCTCGTCTGCCGTCTGATCGGGGCGATACCTCAGGTCACCTTCTTCATTTTTCATGGGCGTTAAGCAGGACAAATGTGAGACTCACGTTTCGTCCCACAAAGTCTGGCCGTTGACCTCCGGGGTTGGCGCGGTGTAACGGAGCAGTTTACCCGTCATAAATCTTTATCTCGCTGAATGATTTCTCGCCCGCTGTGCGGTGGCGTTCAGCTCTCCTGTATTAAAATGATTGATAGGAAATCATCCAGTCAGGCAGAGAAACACTGAATAAAGCAGATCAGATTGATACTGGAGAAAGAGGCATTAAGAATAATCAACCACCCCTACAAACTACATATTCTACATCCTATTGATCAACTTTGATATTAATCGAAGCGCTGTATCTGTACACTAAGAGCTGGACATCAATACACTCTTTTGAGCCACTTTGAATTATTGACGTCGACCGAAATGTCACATACATGATTGAAGAGGAACCAAGTCCGTCTGTCACAAACTGTCTGTCCAGATCACAAGACCGTTTCTTGACCGCTTGACCGAAGGTTCAAAGAAAACGTACGAACACGACTGAACAACTGACCCGGTTTTTAACATCCAGAACCAGGACTGATAAAAAAAAGGGCTTTGAAGGATGAAGTAAAGTGAAAACAGAAGACCTGTGAATCTGAAATAACCTTAAAGTGATCGTTCTGTTGTCTTGGGGTGTTTTGATATAAAGTATTTGTTCATTTTAAGTCAATTAATTATAAATAAAATCAGTTTCTGGGTCATTTTATTTAAGAACTGAGCTGAGAACCTGCAAAGATGCTCAGCTTTCACAGAGTTCCTACACAGTTGAAATTTCCTTACTTTTCCATAACCTACTTTTTTGGAAAAACCTACTTTTCTATTTTAGAAAACAGTATTTTAGAACTGTGGTCATAGTTTGGAAACTAAAATATTTTTCCAGACTTTTTAAGACCTGGTAATTGATCAAATTTATTTCCATACTTGCGTAGGAACCCTTCCCTTCACTTCACTTCACTTCAACTTTATTGTCCCAAAAATGGGAAAATCGTGTTGCAGCAGGCACAAGCATTTAAAACACTACCGTGCATCATAAAAGAAAATAAGTAAAATAAAATACATTTACATAAAAAACAGTTCAGGAGGTAAAAAGCATTAAAGATGATTTAGAAGGTAAAAAAAAGCATATGTCAGTCATACCAGTATTGTTGCATGAGCAGAAACAAAGTGCAACGTGTGGTTTGTGTACCAAAAAAAGAATCCCTGGATGAAGCTTGATCTATAATAATAATAATAATAATAATAATAATAATAATAATAATAAATATAGTAATATACACCATCCCTGTATCAACCGCTGCAGACCAGTGTCACTCACTGTCCTTTTAGGAAAGTCTGACCCAAACTGCAAGGTCAAAGGTTAAAACAGGGATATTTACACAAAGGCTTGACTTGTTATTCAGACTGATTGATTGATCGTTGATGTCACAGAGTTTATTGATTTCATGAATATGGGACACAAACAACCTCATAAAAACTACACCGACGAGTTTATTGTTGTCGTATCGCCCCGGTTACGTTATCAGAAGTATCTGCGTTTAGTCATTCAGGACGACAGTAAACGAGCGTACGCGCCTGTTGCAGGACAACATCAGGGATTCCCAGCATGCACAGGGTGCAGCTATTGAAAGTGAAAATGATGACAGAGTCATTTTCCCCGAACAAGCCTCTTCTGGAGGAGGAGTGTTTTTATCACACTGAGTCAGGACGCCTGATCCTCCATCACCCCCAGTGAGAGTCAGAGGGACTCCACCTGCCAGTCCTTCATCCTCTCCAGAGCTGAGCGAGCAGATGGAGGACCTCGCCGGCTTAGCTGATCTGCTGCCAAAAATATGCAGCACATTTGTCACATTGCAGCCTCTCCTTTTTTGGGGAGCGTTTCTCGCTCTTTGATCGGATGAGTTTAACCCTTACTGGTCGATGGAGAAGCTGTAAAAGTCATGAAAAACTCATGTCCTCATGTTCTCTGTCAGCAGAATCAATGACTCAGCTAATACTGCAGGTGAACACGGCTGAACTCGGATCAATACAGAACCCACGAGGATGAGTTTGTCAGTCAATAACACACCTGCTGAGCTCCGAGGCAGGACTGTGTTTGTACTTCGATCAAAACTGTAACTGCAAGGTCACTGCAGCTGTGATTCAGCCGCCGCCGCTGCCGCCGCCGCACACTCAGAGGAGTTTCCCTGAGTGGAAGAAACAAGAGACTTTAGAGGGATTTAATACAAACACAAGCTGCCCACTTCCAAGTGACTTTGCCCTCTGGAGGGGGGTGAACTCCGGGGCACATGCTGCTGAAAACGGCTTATAAAGCGCCTGCTGACAACAACAGTAACCCAATCCACCGATATGAGCCTCGCAGTCTGGGCTTTCGTGTGAGATGTGTTCGCTGATTCCCTTTAAGGAAGGAGACGCGGCTTTGTCACTGAGTCCAACAGTCAAGATGGCTGATGTATTTTTAGACCCATTAGGGCTCTCGGTACAGACTGCTGTGTCACAGTGATCGAACCCTCTGCCCGTTTCTGACTGTATATCTTCGGGGTGATTCTCTATCAAAGGCAGGATGGATGTGATCCTTCGGTGGAACACCTGATGAATTATAGATGACAGACTCACATTGGCGTCGACCTTGCCGTTGCCACCTGTCTTTTTAACGCCAACACTATCAGGCCTCATCTTTGGTTTATCGCTGAGCCATCAGTGAGCGGCGGGGCGGGAGGTCGGCCCGCTCGCCTGGTTTTTAACCAGCGATGAGACTTTTCAAAATCAGAGCCAGAACAGACTCTAGTTTTATTTTCTACACGACGGGAACAAAAGTCTAGAATCACAACATTGTGCTGCTGAGACACAATGACAGACAATGTTTATTTGATGGGAGTGTTTGGGACAGTACAGCATCGAATGAAACAGCCGGTTTCCAGTCGAAGAGGCCAAGATAGATGATCTTATGAATGATTCATTCGGTCTGCATATTTAATTTGGAGCTTTAGCGAGTCAAAGCTGCCGTCAGGCCCACAAAAGAAGGAAAACCCCACTTTACGCTTCATTTACACTGTTTTTCCTCATACCCACGAACAACAACAACAACTCCCTGCAGTGTCTATATCTGAAATGTTTTAAGTTCCTGCTTCATTTTTTTCCTCCTTTGAGACTTTCCTGTTTATTTTTAGCTGTTTTACACTTTTCCTCATTAGATAACAGGTTTCTCTGTCTCTGCCAAAAAACACCAGACATACTGCAAAAAAAGATAATTTAACAACCAACTCTGGAAAGTTCAGCCAATAAAAAGATTAAATACATTAGAAATTAGGCTTAAACTTTATATTATGAGCGAATGCTGAAATGCATTCATTCCTTTAAGCTGCTGTCTGTCGATTCTACTCAGAGTGCTGAGGTCCATTTGTTTACAGTGTTTACTCCGAGTCAGCACAGAGGGACTTTGAGAACTTTTTAATCAAACTCTTTTTCAGGAAACCTTAAATTAACAGTTTGATTCTTAGTTTATATTTAGGCGACCAAAGGGTTAAAAGCCACGCTAACTATTGTCGAATGACAGATAATGGGCTGTCAAACAATACTGTATGACTTTTGTCACAGAGGATTTTTATATTTATGATATTTGTCCATGTCTGAAGTCTAACCTGCATGTTCGGGAGCAACAATTAGACAACAGCTGATGTGATTTTCTTACAGTTAGCCTCCAATAGAAGTCAGGTTATCATTTGGAAATGCTCCTCGCCTCATAGGTTTCCTTTTAGCAGTAAAATATTTATCAAATACATTTTTAAAATGTGGTTTAAGGTCCTCTGTCCTCCAACATTTTCACATTTCAAATGATCAGCAAATTAAAAAAACAATGAACAGGGAATAAACCGGGCTGAAACCTGATCAAGAGTTTTACCCACATGTTTGACCAACAAGAAGATCCACAGGGTGATGAACTTATACAATACTCCAATTTAAAACGACATATTTAAGAGATGAAGTCAAAGAACAGCTGAGGTTAGTATCATTAAACTGCATTGAACTGAAGTGTTAACATTAGAGTCAGATCCAGAGAGTGGGTAAAAGCTAAGATGACCATTTGGAAGTGTTGCATCATACTGTAGTGAAAGGGTAAAATCCTAGCATATGAACGAGTTAGAAATGTACTTCCTAGATTGTGTCACTGTAGAAGCTGTTCACTAATTTTACAACCAGAGTTTTTTTTAAATCATATAATAGGAAAAAATAGGGAAGGGTATACTTAAAGTCCATTTTATGAGTATGCTTGAGTATAAGTATATCAAGCATACTACCTAACATGTAATTTTAGTATACTACTAAGTATACTGACCTAACACTTCTTCAGACTAAACTGGAACAAAAGTATACTTCAAATATACTCTATAAGTATACTTGAAGTATACTCTATAAGTTCCTTTTAAGTATACTTTATTAGTATACTTTAAGTATACTCTATAAGTTCATTTTAATTTTACAAAAGTACACTTTAAGCATTCTTCATACGTCCATTTTAAGTTTATAAAAGTATACTCTAAAGTAATAAACTTCTAGTCCCCTTTTTTCATTTATAAAAGTACACTCCGAAGCACACCTTAATAAAATTACCCTACTTAAAAAAAAACCTTTGTTATGCTGTTATTTCAATAGTACTATATATATGTATGCTTGGTTTATACTGCTTATCTTTTTAAGAGTATACTCTATGAGAGTAAACTCTTAAAAAGACAGATGGAAGTACTCACTGACCAAGTACACTTAAACCTAAGGCACAAATACATACATGACATGATGTTAACAAACATTAGCATGTGACAGCTCACTCCCTTATTGGTTGTTGTCCAAAGAAAGTTTGTTGGTTACAGATGTAGCCCGAGTTTTCCCTCACAGTTTTCACAGTATTTTGTTTAATCAGTTTTAAAAGTTCAAGTTTTTTCTACTTCAGACACAGCGGTGACACAGCGCTAAGAACAGTTAACATGAAGTGAGAATATATCCCACATCAGGAGAGCTGTTAGTGTCATAAATGAACAGAGTGAAGCTGCTCCAGTTCAGATACATGTTTAATGAAAGGCACTCTTTACAGGATAAATAAAACATTGCAAATGATGATACTGTATACTGCTCAGTATTGACACATACAGTAACAGTCCTCAAACGTTTAAGTGCTTTATAACAGAGTAAAGTGCTGAGTACCGACGTGACCTACTGAAGTCACCTTATTGCTTTATCTTTAATTTATTACAGTATTGGTCCTCAGTGGGTGAAAAAAACACACTTTGTTTCCGACCCACACATCATCATTATTGCATATTGAAGGGTTATTAGAAAGGCATTGTTGTGTTATAACTACATCCATTGCCGTTTCTATACAAGCTATTTATACGTATAATCAACTCACATACAGTACATTTTCAGGAGTGGAACATGCATATATATATATAGTACCAATTCACGTTTTCTCGTTTCACCGTTAAGTATTGGCTTTCTCTACCTCAAGAAATACATCGATCATCACTATACGATTAAAATACTATTTATTCATTGAACTACAATAAATATTTCAAATCTTCAGTTATTGGTAGAAGGAGTTTCACCTCGTTTAGGCAAACGCTGCCATGCATTAGAATGAGAGAACTAAAGGTAATGGAGCACGTCTTCGACTACAAGATCACAACCTGATGGTGAATCTGTCTTTGACTCTTCTAGATTTTCACGGTGATATCTCTGCCGGCTAAAAGTGCTCGAGAGAAAACGTGGGGTAAAGTGCAATGAATTGATTTTAAAGGGATATTTCACATTATATTAACATTCTCAAAGATGCCGAATGATAAAAAAAACATGACGTATGATTTTAAAGCTGAATCTGCTGCATGCATCTATCGCCTATCCTATCATCCTAGAGTAGTGTAAAGCAGTTTCATGGTTCAGTTATATCTCGCGGCCCTATCTCTAAAGGATTCATAGCAGACATGCGAACTTGAGAGCTATTTATCACACAGATATCGTTACGCTGTGTCATATGGAGGAGCTCTGCCGGCTGAGCGTTTTCACAACTATAGATTTGCTGATGAGACAAAGTGTGCGCCACCGCCGCCGCCGCCCTCTTCCCTTACACGGACACATTCACCCGACCTTGAAATTCATGCCAAGTTCTGTCTAGATTTCACAGATTATGACGGAGTGTGGACTAATGTGGAGCCGCGATGAAAAATGAGCTTCCAGGTTAAATACAATTATCACAGTAACCGTTATTGGCTTCTTCTTTTACAGGATAAACTTTCAGCTCTACTCTTACACACACCTGAAATTTACAACTTGCCTACATCACTTTTACAGTTACACGACTATTTTACACTTTCCTGGGGAGACGTCTACAGTAGGGGTGGGCGATACAGGCTAAAAAAATTATCACGATAAGTTTTTCCATTCTGATGATAACGATAAAAGTCCTGATTAAAAATATCATAATTCCAGTCTATATTTTTGACTCATTTAGTCTTGAGGATACCAGTTGGAGTCGTCAAATAAGATACTTAACCACAAATTTAGTGGTAGGTTATGGAGGAAACTAATGACTGCTCAGAAACGTCTTCTTCACATTCTATATTCTGCTCAATATTTATCATGGAGGAATTTTCTGACTACAAATCGTGAATGGTAATTTATCGCCCACCCCTAGTTTACTGATACAAATAACCTATTATGACCCTTTTCTTTCGCTTGCACTGGATGTCAGGAAATAACTCAGCCTGTGAGTTTTTCACACAGAGTTTTTCTGAATAAGTAGGAGTCGAGTTGTGTTAATTGCACTTTGACACATCCACAGGTAGACCGACGACGACTAGTTTAAAGGCTGTCCCACCGCACTGTGCCGATTAATACTGTCACAACGCTGCCGAGTTTGGAGTAAAAAACAGTGAGAAAGACAGACCGATATCACCCAGTGCTTCTTACTTCTGGATCTGTGTGATAAGTCCACGTTTGTCATGCATTTAATGTAAAAAATACATACTTGAGTTTTCCTATCAATGCATGCCGTTTTTCTCGTTCTGCCAGGTCCCGTTGCTTTTGTTTAGCGAAGGTGTGCTTCCATACTTGTTTGCAGCGGATGTTTTCTGCGCAGCCTCCGCCGCTGCGTCCATGATCTGCTTCTCCTCCTGCTCAGTTTCTCTGTGGTAAAAATAGTTAAAGTTGGAGACAATGACGGGGACGGGCAAGGCGATGGTCAGGACGCCGGCTATGGCACAGAGGGTGCCGACCATTTTGCCTCCCATGGTGATGGGGCACATGTCTCCGTAGCCCACGGTGGTCATTGTCACCACAGCCCACCAGAAGCCGTCAGGGATGCTGACGAACTGCGTCTGGGGCTCATCCACTTCAGCAAAGTAGATGGCACTTGAGAAAAGGATGACTCCTATAAAGAGGAAGAAGATGAGCAGTCCCAGCTCCCTCATGCTGGCTTTCAAGGTCTGACCCAGGATCTGGAGTCCCTTCGAGTGCCGAGAGAGCTTAAAGATTCGGAAAACTCTCACCAGACGGATGATTCTCAGGATTGCGAGGGACATGTTCTGACCGGAGTTCATGTCATCGTCGGGGGTGGTCGCCAGCTCCGTCCCCAGGGTCACAAAGTAGGGAATGATGGAGACGATGTCGATGATGTTCATGATGTTATTGAAGAAGTCACTCTTGCTCGGACACACGACGAAACGAACGCCGACTTCAAAGCAGAACCAAATGATGCAAATAGTCTCCACGATGAAAAAGGGGTCCGTGATGTACGCCATCACGTCTTTACCCGCGGGGTGAGGGGCGTCCCGGGTCCCGTTGATGGTCTGCGTCAAACCTGGGGTGAAGTCAGTGTCCTCCCTGAACTCCGGCAGAGTCTCTAAGCAAAAGATGAAGATGGAAATGACGATGACCAAGACGGAAACCAAGGCGACAGATTTGGCGGCGCTGGAGCTCTCGGGGTACTCGAAGAGGAGCCAGAACTGTCGCTGGAGTTCATTGGTTGGTAGAAGGACCTCCGGCTCCTTGATGAACCCTTCGTCTTCTCTGAACTGCTCCATGGCTTCGTGACCCAACTCGTAGAAAACGATTTCATGAGCGAAAACGTCTAAGGGAACGTTGGCCGGTCTACGGATCCGCCCTCCTGACTGATAGTAGTACAGGATACCATCGAAAGAGGGGCGGTTCCTGTCGAAGAAGTACTCGTTCTTCATGGGGTCGAAGTAACTGATCCTCTTCATGGGGTCACCGAGAAGCGTCTCTGGAAACTTGTTCAGCGTACTGAGCTGGGTCTCAAACATCAGTCCTGAAATATTGATCACAACCTTCTCGTCCTTTTCTTCCACGTAGTGCTTCTCGAACAAGTCTTCGTTCTCGTAGCAATCCTTCGCCATTTTACTGAAGACGCTGTCGGTGGGAGACTCGCTGTTGACCAGGAGCTTCAGGTTGGAGATCAAACTGCAGCTGCTGGAGTTCGCTTTCGTGGTCAGAGTCGGAGGAGTGGACGGGGACAGCCCCTCTTGGCCGGACTGATGTCGACGGCGTCCCCTGAGAGGCGACTGATGAGGGGAACTCAAGCGGTGAGGCAGGAGGTTCTGATCCGGAGCCTCTGATGTGGGTGACGTTGGATACCCTGAGTCATTGGGGTCTCCCAGGTTGATGCCGACATCATCCATGTTCTCAAAATTCACGAGCGGCACCTCCATCCCTTGTCTTTTCATTCGCCGCCGCTCCGTCTATCAGCCCGGTTTGAGCGCAGGACACAGAGGGGACCCCACAACCGGTGCCAGGACCTCCGTCCTTCTGACGATCATTCAGGCAGCCGTGTGACACTCTTGGTCTCAGTCTTCTGTTCGATCTGCGAAACGACCACAGAGAGGAAAAAACAGCAAAGTTGAGTTTATTTTGTTAAAAGGTGCAAAACCGTTTTGATGGTAAAGAGATTTTTCTGTCAACTCCTGTTTACATCAGCAGAGAGTTCGCCACCCGATACTCTGCTTGTACGGTTATTTCTCTGCCGTGACCCGCAACAAATCACCAACTCTGCAAATGTGGAGGAGAAAGTGCTTACCCTGATAATCGCCGCAGAAACAAACATGTTTAATAGAAGAAGAAAAAAACGCCCAGCTTCACTTTTTCAAGCAGAAACTCATCAAAACTGGAGGCTTTCATTCCTCTCAGCGTTTCTAACCCCTGAGTGTTCGTTTCTTAGTGTTTCAGTCCTGTCTGTCAGCGTCACGCTTACTTCCAAGAAACTCTCTATCAGTGCGTCTGTCCTCCTCAGACAGGTAACCAAACCCTGACACGCGTTTTAAAGCTGCAACCTCTGTGTCCACTTGACACCGAGGGCCCTGCGCCGTCAGAGAGAGACTTATCTGCTTCTATTTCCACTTGCATTGAAGCAGATAACGTAACAGTCCTGAATCTTCTTACATAAGGACATCATGATACGGCTTATGCAGAAAATAAATGTATTGATTGTGCCTCGTCAGCAAGAAGAGGATGCTGAGTCCGAGAGAGAGAGGACAGCTGGAGAAGGAAACAGAGATGAGAGACTTAAAGAGAGTTTTAAAAGTCTCTGAAATCTTCTGAGTGTCCTTGAGAGACACAAAAATCCACTCTTACATCTACTTCTACCAGATCTGAATGTCAGAGCAGCTGAGAGCCTGCAAACACACGTTAAAGAAGAGTCAAAGTTAGAGTCCAGCTGTGTGCAGATGTCCGCAGCACTCACCCGTGTCCCCGGCTCTGCAGAAGTTCCCGTGCCCTCTTTACCCTTCCTGGCAGTTCTGCGGAGCTCCCACTTCCTCCTTTCAATCTCTCCCTCATCCAAACTCACAATCAAGAGTGTCTCTGTCTCTATTAAAGCTCCCATTGGGTAATCTAACACCCTATAGGAAACCAGAGATGCCAGAGGTACCCACACAAACGCTCTCCAACTTCCACACGCACGCACAAACAAGGGCGAGCGCACGCAGGCGACTGACCGGCCTGCGTGTGTTTGAATGTGGGGGTCACCTGGGCTTTGTTCTCTCTCCTCCGTCAGCGGGACGAGCGAGGACGTTAAAGGTAGCTCCCTGATAGGAGAATCACTCCGCAAGAGCCAATCGCTGTTGTTTGGCGTGTCAGAGGGAGAGCGTGTTGGGACCCACTCTTTCCTTTCTTTCCTGCAGAGTAAGCATCCACACGCAGGATCATCCCACCCACCCTCACCCTCACCCACCCGGGGGATTAAACCCGATTCTTCTCCTGTGTGACTGTATTTGTCACAGATTTCAGTACCTGCAGCATCTGCTGGAGAGGAGGGGCTTTAGGGGTCTTTTAATTGACATTTTAAGAAAAACACTCGGACTTTGAATTGATTGTTTTTATACTCTCTGAAATTTAACAGGCATTCAGACTTTTTTTAAAATGTTACCTGGTGTCTCTTTTGACCTTTTCCCTTTAGATCAAACATGTTTGGTCGTCATGAAATACAGAACAAGGATTAAGTCGTCCTATAGAGTCAATATTATTGATAAATACTGAAGTTTTGTTACTGAGGTCATTTATTCTGGGCATGTTTCCCTCAGAGGTGTTACATATGGATTCATAGAGAGAGAAACAGCTCCTCTTTTCTCTGAGATAATCCTGCAGATACGTTTGTTCTTCTGTGCCTCTGAGCTCCAGGTTTCTCAGATTAATTCTGACGCTCTGTAACTGAAATAAAAACTCATTAAAAGAGTTGAATCCACTTTCCTTTTTTTTTTAAGCTCTGCTGAATTCTCTGGAGCCGTGAAAACTTTAATCAAAGTGTATCCGGTACTTTTTCAGAAGGGCGGCCAATTTGGCATCACAGGTTGGATATTGTGTTACCTGAAGTCAGGAATCATCGTTCCCTCTTCTCACTCTCGGTCCTGCAGCAGCAGCCCGGAGCTGCCTGTCTGCGGGATCCTCTGTAACATTGCGGCGTGAGCAGCACCACTGCAGGCACACGGCGTCAAGGTCACAGGAAACTGTCTTAAAGACTTTACAGCCCGTGGTTTCGCTCTACATCATCACAGTCACCTTCAGGGACCTCATTACACGTCCTCAAGGATTCATCACGCACACATGCAGCAGAGGACATCAACTTTATGTTTGCTCATGATGTATAACAAGGTCCTCTCATACATACAGAGAGTAAGGATGTGCACGTGCATGCACACTAACATCCCTCAGCTGACTCTCTATATACGAGCTCCTGTCTCCCTGCTGTGATCCTGCAAAGTCCAGGACATGTCATTGAGAGCGCAGCGACCCGCCGTTTAAACACTTCATAATAGAATTGGCTACAGGCGGAGAGCGACAGGAAGACGGACAGCGTGGGGGCCGATCACAGACTGAGACGGTAAATAATGGATCTATTGAAAAGTGGGAGAGGGGAGAGAGAGAGGAGAGAGAGGGGAGAGAGAGGGGAGAGAGAGAGAGGGGAGAGAGAGGCTGCAGCTACTGCAGTGTCACTATTCTGAGGAGTCCTGTCGGAGGAACAGAAGGAGAACGTCCCTCCCTCTCTCTCTCCCTCCCTCCGTCCTTCTGTGCAGCAGCCCTCCATCCATCATCTCGCCCCCCCCTTCGATGACACTGTCACCTTAGCCGTTAACAGACTGTGTTGACAAAGCAATTTCTCCATCAGCACGCCTGTGTGTGAACTAGACTGACGCTGCATACAGTCAGAATTAACACCTCCTGCTCTTCTATAGAGTCGACTTTGAGCTGAGAGGTTCTGAGGAGACGGTGTTCAGAAAAACAGAGACACGAGCATCAAGACAGTCCAGTTAGAATAACATTTCCACATGATGACAATGAAGTGAAACCTCCTCTGAATGACCAATCGTTCTACTTTATTCATCTTTGAAAATTATGAAAATTACATAATTACTCTTTTTCTTAAAATCTTGATCCATAAAGTTGCTGTTTAAACTCAGGGTGTCCCGATACAACTTTTTTTTAACCTCAGATATGATACCTATATTTTCGCCTTTAATATTAGCCGATACTGAGATTGATCCGATATCACTCCTACTCCTCGGTATTTTGTTCGTACCGTAGTCCACACTGTTGTTGTGATCACATGAGCTCTACATGCTGGATCCGGGTGCTGCTCGATAGAGGTGCAGGAGCGGAGTCTGGAATGGACCGCTTGAGTGCTGATATTGGCGATTTTAGATGCAGGCAGATATAATCCGATATTTGTTTTTTTTGCTGATATTGGACTGATATCCGATATTAATGTCGTATCGGGACAGACCGAGTTTGAACATTTTAATTCATCCCAGAATTGTTCTTTAACCTGCTGAAACTGGTTGTTAGGGCTTAACGATTAATCAATTTTAAATTATAATCAGATCATTTAATTATGACGATGCTAAAAAAAATTAAAATCATCAAATAGATTTTCCTCTCTATCATGTTTCACGCCTCCAGGCCACCGTAGGCTCCTCCCCCTTCCTCTCCAGTTCCCACACACACCAGTGTAAACAAACATGGCGTTTGTAAAAGAAGGCGATAATTTCGTGGTTAAATAGGACAAGAGCGAGTCAGTCGTGTTGAATTGGTACGACTTCACAGTTTCAGATGAAGAGTAAACCACTCCCTGCTGCAAAGTCTGTCTGAAGGCGGTATCAACCCGTCACCACGGAAACAAATTCAGGAGGAAACGCTAAAGTTTTTTGTCATATCGGCGTTTCAGGTGACTGTAAACGGTACTTTTTGAAAACGGGTCAGAGAGTGAATAAATCTGTAAACGACGACCATTTCATCTCCATGTGGATGTCTATCTGCATCTCTGGAAACGATCATGTGACACACAGCGAAACTCTTTTACGGCGCCAAAACAACCTTTATACACATGCTCTGTACTCTTCTTCTGACTTTTGTGCATTTCCTGTGCAGCGTTACAGCGCCACTTACTGGCTTGGCATATAAACTACATCGTTTTCAGTAGTTTCATTTTGAGAGATGATAGAAAAACTCAAATAAAAAATCAAAATCTAACATCGAGTTTTCAGAGAAAAATCTGGGTTTCATTTTTGTCCGATATCGTGCAGCCCTACCTGGTTGTATTTGGACTGTTTGTTCGTCTCCAGGTCTCTCCTCTCATATCTACACCTGAACAGCTCTTATCCTCTCTCATATCCATCAGAGGTGACAGAATTTCTAAGTTCACGTCAGGTAGCTGGGATTAGATATTCCATCTTTGTTATTGTACATCTGTGGTAAAGTCAGCTGATTAGTCCTCTCTGGTAATCCTTCATATTACAGCAGAGGTTCTCCTCATCGACAATAACATACAAGGTTGGGTCAGGAGCACACAAGGACAGGACAGACAGTGTTGATATAAGCTCCTGCAGAGTTGTTCGGTGAGGCTCAGAGCAGGTTCAGCCCAGAGTTCAGAGTGTCAGGAGTTCACGGGGATTCAGTGTTGGTGGCTCTGAGTGAGGCCGGGATCCCTCTGGGGGGTCACCTGATCTCTATCTGGGGCCACTATGAGTTCAAAACAAGATCTCCTCTCATCACTGAGTTATAAAATATAAATATAAGCACGCAGGAGGAGACGGTTTCACATAAATGAATATTCATCTTACAGAAAACACACAGCTCTTTTCCTTACTAAAGGACTCTTCTGTATATAATAATGTCTTTTTCATGATCAAGTCTTCATACGGCCACTAGCCGACAAACTCGAAGAGTGTTCTCCGGACGAACGCCACAAACATGTCGCTGATGTTTTTGTGCATCAGACTGCAAATGTGTGTAGAGACCACATTAAACAAAAATATGAGTCAGTGCTTCTGGCTCATTTCTAATAAAATGTATTTATAAGAATAATCTGAGCCACAACAACCCAAAACGTTAAAAGTTTAGTTTTAAGATCTTACAGGCCAGAAATAAAATCTGAATTTCTTTTTAGGAGTAAAAAAAACATTTTGAAACCAGAATTATTGCTTTTCATTCAGGTGAATGTGGCTGAAAATAACATTTTTATATATTTTCTAGAAATGAGGCAAAAATACTTCTTTGCATCTAAAATTTTGGAGTAAAACACCTGAGACATACGTAGGTCTAAATGTGTTTTAAAATGTCAGACTCCACATTAAAAATTCAATCATGTTGTCATGAATGACTTCAGCTTTAGGTCGTCCTGGTTAACTCGTACAAACACCCAAATATCTGTTGAATTGACACACACTGTTTTATTGCTGCGATCAGCTGAGGCTCCTTCAGTATGATGACGACTTTTCAGGTAATTTAGGAGATTCACCTCGCCAAAGTCGGACATGCCAACCCAATCAGAGGTCTTTATTTAAAAAGGGGGCGGGTTCAGTGTGTTTGTAAACAACCAAGATGGCAGCTCCCACCTCTGGAGTGTCTGTTAAATCCTCTATTACGGATATTTTAATGGACAAAGAGCTGCACACACACTTTCATTAATGAGACAGGTTTGTCTGTGTCGTCTGTTTGCTGCAGCCTGTTTAAATATCTGTTATTATATTCTCCGTCACATTCTGCTTCAATGTGATCGGCTGTACAACTGCTTACAGAGACCACTGCTAAAAAAATATGAAGACTGACCAACAACCAAGTATTAAAGTAAAAGGCCAACAAATCACAGAAATATGAGCCGAGGAGTAAAAATTCAGAGCAAGAGTCAAATCTCTGAGCGACATGATCAGTTTAAATCTGACCTGTGTCTCTTTACTGCAGGTCCTCGCTGCTCTGTCTGCGGTTTGATCCTCTGAATGAAAACATTAAAAGCTAAAAATCAGAGGAGATCATGTGATCGCAGTGACCCCAGTTTAAGTCTGATCACTTAAAGCCTGTTTGAGATTTAAAAGAGTGTTACGACTGTAATGTGCAGCTTTCCAAACCCCAACCTTCAGTGTCAGCCTGTCCTTTTATTTTCCATCCTCTGTTTGCGCTCACAATAAAAAAGATGCCAGTAAAGCCTTGAAAAGCAATAACCAGACTTAAGTGACTGTAAACTGTTGGTAATGAGTTTTTACTTATCTTTAACAATGTCTTATCGAACATACAGGAGGCGCTCTTGTTAATGATTCACCTCAGATGAGCAGAAACGAACGATGACACAGCATAATGGCATCAAAGCTGACTGAAGACGAACTCCTCAGTGTCTCATGTTTTTCTTTTGTGCACAGATGTAACTCTCTTTTAAGAAAATGTTTGAATCATGCCTACAGTGAATCTTTGTCTCCAAATTTAAAATATAAAATCTGAAAGTATTTCTTTTTATGTTAGAGAGGTAAAGTTGTTGGACTGTCAAAAGTCAGCAGGGTGAGATTGTTTATCAGGAGTTACAGCTAAGTTACATCGAGGACGAGATAATGAAAAAGTACTTTAACTTCAGACACACAGACACACAGGAAATGTCAGAGAAAGAAAAGTCACGCTTTAGGATATTACACACCAAAAATAATAAATAATAATAATAATAATAACAATAAATGGTATATAAGTAGGGCTGCATGATTTGGCCAAAAACAAAATTGTGATTTTTTTCTCTGGAAACTTGATTTTCGATTTTATATTCAGTGACAACTTCACAAGTTTTTCTATCATCTCTCGAAACAAAACCACTGAAAATGATATAGTGCGTAAGCCAAGCCAGTATATGACGTTGTAACGCTGCACAGGAAATGTGTGTGTCACATGATCGTTTCCAGAGATGCAGACAGACATCCACACGGAGATGAAATGGTTGTTGTTTATGGATTTATACACTCACGTTTTAAAAAAGCACCGTTTACAGTCATCTGAAACGCTGATACGACAAAAAACTTTAGCGTTTACTCCAGAATTTGTTTCCATGGCGACGGGTTGATACCGCCTTCAGACAGACTTTGCAGCGGGGAGTGGTTTACTCTTCATCTGAAACTGTAATAATAAACCGATGACGATTTAAAATCAATTTATCGTGCAGCCCTATGTTTGACTGTCAAAAGTTGTCAGGGTCAGGAGTTAAAACTAAGTTACATCGAGGACAAGATAATTAAAAAGTACTTTAACTTCAGACACAAACACCCAAAAAGTCCAGGAAAACAAAGTCATGATTTAGGATATTACACACCAGTAATAATAATATAATATATAATAATAATAATACTTGAGTTTTTCACCTGCTAAAGTTTGGGGTGAATGTTTCTCCTCTGATAAACAAACAGGAGGATGTGCGTCTGCAGAGGTTTTTCTCCCTGAGTGCCCTGCTGGTTAAAAATAGTGTCTCTGCCCTCTGAGAGCACTCTTCCCTTCATTGTTAAGGCCGAGGATTTGTGGTTAATGGAGACCGGCCGCTGTGCTGATTCTGAGGACTGGTACTCAGCTAAGGAGATTACGCAACACAGGAGATCAGCCCCGAGAATCACCCTCATAGATGGACTAAATACTACGGGCTTAATTGAAATTTCTGGATTGTTTCCAGCCGCACTAATCAAAAGACAAGTGCTAATCTTGGATGACTCCTTGGACCTGACACGGCAGGGGGAGAGGAGACCGACCAATCAGGGTGCAGCCGTGATATTCAGCTCTGCAGTCGCTGATTAAACCGAACCTTCCTTCACAAAAATCTAACTATTTTTCTGCACCTTTTTAAAAACATGTGTCAAAACGGTCCCAGCAGCAACCATGGAGGAATCAGTGCAAATTCTGATTTAAAACACGAAACCATGTAATAAAAATTTAACACCAAAATGAAAAATAAACCCACCCGTGACTCGGACCTCCACTTTGCTCACCGTTGGATGGTGAAGTCCCATGACTGCAGGCGCTCCGAGTTCATCCAAAGCTTCCTGAGGGACACTGAGCCTCCTCCTCATGTTCCCATATGTCCTGTAAAAACACACAGAACATGATTTCACTGAGACATTAACACTCAGCATCCATCAGACTGAATATTTATGCATTTATTTTCTTTAAACTACAACAATAACATCTAAAACAGGCTTGGTTGATGCTGTATAAAGGATTTAAGTAATAATAGTAATATTAAAAGTAATAATAACAACCAGAAAGCAAACATAATTGTGCTGCATTAGCTGAAAAAAAGAAACCCCTTTGTCTGAAATGAAGTTGTCTTTAGTTTCACTTGTTCACCTTCTCCAAACACAGACCTGTACCTGTAAAAGTCGACCCCCTAACTTGAATAAGAAATCTTTAAATTGACTCTACCTTGTTATCCGGTGGTGAAAGAATCTTGTCCAAACACACTCTCACATCTTCCTGGATTAAAAATCTGAACAGGCAGCGGCGGAGTCTTAAGGAGTCGGTGTAAATCTCTGTGAGGTTTTGACAGAAGGCAGGGCTTTCGCTGTGAAATGCTCCATAAACAAGACAGATGTCGTGAACAACAACACGATTTGAATCGATTCAGTCTGTCTGGATTACACGCAAATCAACCAATCCTGTTTACATCCTTTTTATTTCCGCTTTGACAGTAAACACGGGTTATTCTGAGAGTTTTGAGCACTTTTTAAAGACACAAACATGATGAGACCTTCACATAAGGACAGTAGATGTCAGTGATAGAGCCAGAAACTAAAGTGAACTTGTGTTTGTGCAGCAGGGGGCTCAATTTTCTCACTGCTTGTAAAGTCCTGAACCGGTCTGTCTGCCTGCCAGGTGCTCTCGCTTGGCTCTCGATCATATTTCACACTCGTGCGTCGGATTCTCTGGTCACACGCCAGTTTTTCTTTTCTGCAGGTTCACCTCTCCGCCCTCTCTCTCTTTCGTTCACTTTGTCTTTGTTGAAAGTCAGCGGGGGTCAGGAGATCAAACGGGAAAACAACAACAACACTTAGACTGATGTGTCTTTGGGTCGAGACAAACACCTAATTAAATGACTTCATTACTTCAATCTCATTAAGCAACATTATGGATGAGCCTCAGGACGACAGGCGCATTAAAAAATAATTGACTTTATGACTAAGAACCGAAACGACAAGAAAAACACGCAGCAGGTTAAATTTTAAAACAAGAATTTACAAAAAAAATATGATAAAGACGTCTGGGAGCAGCAGGGGCAGATCCAGACTGTTTGACTGTGGGGGCCCTTGACCTCTGCAGGGGTGGCCTGAAATTGAGCGCACACACAAACTACTCACTTCGTCTACTTCAGCCGCTACAACTTTTGAACCGTCCTCCATCTCCTCACCTGTCTTTCCCTCTTTGTTACAGACTGGATGGGGTGGAGTCACGTCTCTGACGTAGGACAGCGTCTTAAAAGGGACATGAGACCATAGCCTACCTACACACATCCAAAACCAACTTTGATTTATTTATCTATTTTGACATTGAATACACCGATAAAATGACGTTGGTTATTGTCATAAATTTTGGTATCTGTAAGTTCTCAGTTAATCGCCCAGCCCTACAACAAACACGAATAGACGATATATTAACCTTTTCTTCCTCCAATAATCAGATCTACTTTCAATAAAATCTAAAAGATGTTTTTTTGTTTCTGTTTGTTTGTTTTAACTTCACGGCTGCTTTAAGAAACTTCTGTTTTTCACTTCATTTGTTGATTTTTTTCACAAACATGCCAAAGTATTATTTTTATCAAAAACTACAACATGCTGTATTTAAGAGTTTAATAAGACACTCAACTGTTGATATTTGTTAAAATAAATCTGTCTTCTCAGTTTGTTGTCAATCATCATGACTCACACTCACTCTCATTAAAAAGTATGAAAACCTTCACATGTGTTGACTGATTGTCTTTTTTAAAACCTTCTGGATACATGCCTGTCGTAAAGCGCCACCATCAGGTTAAAACTTTATTGTGTCAAACACTGATAATCACAAATAACACCTACAAAAATAAAATTATCATAACCGTAAGACATAAATAAAGCTCCTCCAGAGTCAACATCGACATTTGTTTCTTATTTTACTATTTTTAAACCTCATCCTGTCAAAGTTTCTCTCCCTATCGCATATTTTCATGCAGCTCTGTGTTTCGGAGCTGAATATTTCTCACAAAGGTTGTTGATGCTCAAAGAAAATCCTTCTATAAATGTGAGCTCGTACATATTAAAGAAGATAAAAAGTAGAAAGCAAAAACAGGAACAACAAACAGGAAACTGAATTTAAATTTACTGTATTTAGCATCAGAAAGTTGGCTCCGCGTCTCTGCGCTCCCCTGTCATTTCAGGTCACTTTCCTGCCTTATCACTGGAGTGCAGCTCTACAGCCTACACAGTTCCCATGATGCAATGCCTTGTTGCTAACACAGTCTCCTGGAATGACATTTCTCCTCGGCTTATAAAATATTTCTGCACCAAACCCTTGTGTTGAATCCTCGTGAGGTTTCTGGTTGCCTTGTGTAGCTTTAATGTATTGGTACGAGCAGGAATCAGATATCTCAGCATGTGTGTGTCCCTGAGGTGCTGCTGCTGCTGCTGAAAAGACATGCTGGTTACCGCCGTGTCGCTGGGGACAGACGGACACACACTCACCTCTGATCACAGAGTATCTCCTTATAGAGGAGGGGGGGGGACTGCAGTGAAAACAGAGCAGTTATAGATCTTGAAGGTTGGAGATGGCACTAGTTTTCACCCAGCAGAGCCTTTTAAAATCTAATGTTGGTGATTTATTGATAAGTCGAGGTTTTCTCACCGTGTTCACATCTGGTTTTCTTCTTGTACAAATCACTAAACATCACGTATTCCTGCGGGGAGTTTGACGCTCTATTTTTGAGGACCTTGTAGAGCTAGTTACGATTCTTCCCCCTCTTTGTGTTAAAGCTTCGTTCACTACCAGGAGGCTTCTTACTGCATCACTCTCTTTGATCAAACATGAATAATAAATGAAGCCAAGCAGCTAAACCTCACTCCCTATCTCTCCTCCCTGCTGCTTGCACCTGACATGAACGCTCCACCTACAAATCCCATTATGTCAGCCCGAAACCAGCTTCCTCTCCAGATAACACAGATTATGATTCAATTTACGCTCTAAACCTCACTGCCTTATAGTTAGAGCTGCTCCACTTCTTGTTTTTATCGGGTCAAATGAGGTCATGTGATGTTAAAGGCGTCAGTCTCCTGACAAAGCTTATAAATTCTCAGAGTTCAGCGACGACTTTTAGCTCGAGGTTTTTGAACTTTGCTGTTTTTATTCACTTGTTTTCTCCTTTGACATGTACGTCGGTATTTTCAGCTTTAGAAACTCGGAAACAGACTTTATTCTAGTTTCAAACAGGTGAGATAGAGACGTCCCAGAGTGACAAGTTTCCAGGTATTTAACAACCTCGGCTAACCCCCTAATAACTTACAAACCAGTCTGACAGTAACTACATGTCAACATCACAACCAGGGGGGAGAAACATTTATATTCTGTGTCATTCATTTAAAAAGTTTGTCCACAGCTCCATAAGGAGGCGGGGTTTATGACCTATACTGCAGCCCATCACCAGAGGGTGCTGTTCTCGGAGAGGCTTCGACCAATCTAGGGGACAGTCACAGCTTTGACAAAGCAAATGACCTTCATCTTTGGCCTCTAATGCAATGAAAATATTAAATAAATCATTGAATAAACTAGTTATTCAGCGAGAATGGAGATGTGAAGTTGTCTAGTAGAAAAACATGCAAATCTCTACCACAGAAAAACAGGTGAGGGCGCTGTGTTAGCGATCATACATGTAGGGCTGAGCGGTTTGGCCAAAAATAAAATACTGATTCTTTTATCTGAAAACTTGATTTTCGATTTTGATGAAGTGACTGAAGTGAAATGACAACTTCACCAAACTTCACTTTAATATGTTTTTCTATCATCTCTCAAAATGAAACCACTGAAAACTATGTAGTTCATATGCCAAGCCAGTAAGTGGCGCTGTAACGCTGCACAGGAAATGCACAAAAGACAGAAGAAGAGTACAGAGCATGTGTATAAAGGTTGTTTTGGCGCCATAAAAGAGTTACTCTGTGTGTCACATGATCGTTTCCAAAGATGCAGATAGACATCCACACGGAGATGAAATGGTCGTCGTTTACGGATTTATTCACTCTCTGACCCGTTTTTAAAAAGTACCGTTTACAGTCACCTGAAACGCCGATGCGACAAAAAACTTTAGTGTTTCCTCCTGAATTTGTTTCCGTGGTGATTTGAGGATTTTAATTTTTTTTAACATCGTCAAAATCAAATAATCTGATTACAATTTAAAATCGATTAATCTTGCAGCCCTACGTACAGGATACTTCAGTCAGGTTACTAACAGACTCAGATTTATTCTGCTGTCTCTTCATGTCCAACAAAAGCAAACAAAACCATTAGTGACAAGATTAACAACCTTCATTAAGTTGTTGTTAATGTTCGGTGTCGGCTGAGTGATGAAGCTCTCGCTGCCAAAACAGACTTTTTAAAACTTGACTCAACAAAGTTTCTGAGAGAGTGATAAATTTCACCAATTAGATAAAGCAGAAAACTGTTTTTAAGTGTATCTACTCATACAAGAGCTGAGATGTACTGCTTTGTCCACAGGGGGCACCAAAGTCAATCTAAACGTGGAGCTTTCTCTCTTTCTTTGCTGCTATTTTCAACATTCGACAAGGTTTGCGTTTAATAGCGCTGACGAAACAGAAACTGCTCAGTTTGTCAGGGCGGTGCAACATTTCTGGAGGTTTTTTTTGCTGGTTGTGCACTTTTCCCGTTTCAAAGGTTAATTTTGCTGCAATAAAAATGAACTCAAGATAAACAGGCAGAAATCACAACATACCTCCGTCATCAGAAAATTTAGTGAATGTAGAAATGTGTAAGGTTGCAGTAATGTCTGATTGTGACTCATGTATTGTGGTAAAATATTATTCATCAGCCTCTGCAGCTCCCACTATGAATAAACTCACTCCAGTCCGCTGTACTGGTGTGTGTTTGGTGACACAGGCAGGATTATCCTCACAGTGATGATGACGATGCTTTGTTTGAGGCCTGCTCTTCATCAAGAGATCATTGCATACATAATAAATAAGCTGTGCACACACTTACACATACACACACACACACACTTACACACACTTACACACACACTCTCCTGCTGCTGCTGGGCTGATTTCTGTGTCACTCTCCACACTAGATTGCTTATGAAGCACATTTAAACGTCCAGATTTTATCAATATTTAATCCTCCCGAATGATTCCTCGCTCTTCTAATCGTCCTGATAAAACAGTTTCATAACTGCAGCGATAAAAGCACCAACATTTTCAGCGAGGGGGACATGCATTACTGAGCTGATAAGCAGTAAAAAGCCAAATTATTGCATCGTTGCCTGCAAACATGAGCTCCAGCAGGAGAGAGGGTGGAGGGGTGGAGTGAGAGGAGCAGCAGAGAGGAGGCACTCTTCAGAGATCCTGGGCTGTAAGAGGGGAGAGGCCCTGGGACTGAGATGATGATAAAATATTAACTCACTCGGGATATTTAAAGCCTGTGACACTCTTTTCCTGGTCTGCTTGTTGGAAATGGCCTCCACCAGACGTAGCCGGCAGCGTGATGGAGTGTGTACACGGTGTCGAGTTATAAAAGGAGTCTGATCAGAGATTTACTCGACCTGTTTTTGATGAGCTTGATATCATGGAGTCATCGGACAAAACAGTCGAAATCGTCATTTTTAATCAGTATTAATTATATTTGGACATTTAAAACTGCTTTTTAATGTCAATTTGATGCTTTCCAGGTCTTTCACATGTCCTTTCAGCTCCACTTAGTGTCTTTTTATGAATGTTTTATGTTCATGCTCCGTGGTGTTACTGAACATTTTAAGAGCTGCAAATTAGTCTACAGCAGGTCGACTCCAAGACTCATATTTGTGTCGTTTTCTCAGATTTGGTATTTTGACGGTAAATAAGCAGAAAAACGGAGAAAAGGTCGAACTTTCATTAAACTGTTTTTTTACGTGTCGCACATGTTGATAGAAAACTGTGTGAAAACTGCAGTACCGCCTCTGACCTGGTGGAGCAGTAGAGGGTTTACCAAATATTCAAGCTAGTGAGCTGTTTACCTTTTACTGAAGTTCCTGTGAAGGTAAAACTTTAAATCCTCTGGTGACTCTGATGTCGACATTTACCGAGAACTTAACTCAAAGTGAGTTTAGCTCAAACCTGGTCCGGACTTTGGTTCTGGTTCAGTCGTAGGTCAGTTAGCTTAGTGAGGCAAGACTGTAAAACAAGGAAACAGACGAGGTAAAAGAAGCTTACTAACATCTGTCACCACAACTGATGGGTTTTAAGAACCAGAATTTGTCCAGCATCTCGTCAAGAGTTCAACCGTCTATTTAGAAAAAGAAGAAGAAGAAGAAAAAGATGAAGAAAATGAAAAAGAAGAAGTAAAAGTAGAAGAAGAGTAGGAGTAGAAGAAAAAGAAACTTAACATCTTTCACCACACCTGTTGGGTTAAAAACCAGAAGAAGAAGAAGAAGAAAGAGTAGAAGAAGAAGGAAAATAAGAAGTAGAAGAAAAAGTAGAAGAAAAAGTAGAAGAAGATGTAGTAGAAGAAGAAGGAGAAAAAGTTAAGGGTTGAAGAAGAAGACAAGAAACAGAGGAGTAGAAGAGGAGGAGGAGGAGAAGAAAAAAAAAAAAGAAGTAGAAGAAAAAGTAGAAGAAATGTATTGATCCCCAAAGACAAATTAAAAAGTTAAATTTTTTTCTCCACGTTGTTTTTTCAGTCAGTATGTTTAAACGGACCGACTCCTGGTTCCAGGATCATGTGTAACATTCAGTCATTATTGAGTTGGACTAGTATCCTGAACTTCACATGTGATACCTTAGAACCTTCGAACCTTTAGACCCTCGAACCCGCTCCCATTACTCCTCAGTGTTTATTGATGCTCGTGTCAGAAGGTCGTCTTTAACTCCACAAACGCCGCGCTGACCCCCTGGTCCTGAAGCTAATCGAGCTCTGCGCTCCACTTTACCTGTGTGACCCCTCCTCCCTACTTTTCCTCGCCCCGCTGTGTTATGTTACCAAAGAGGATTTTCTCGGGTTTTCACGGCGCTCGGATCGATCACATGACTCGGCGTCACCTGGTTTCATGTGTTTGTGAGCTGCAGAGCATCTGTCAGAGGAGGGTTTGCTGCCTGTGCGCTGACAGGTTCACCGTCCCCTGTGAGATGGGATTCATGCTTGGCTGACTTTAACTCGGCCCATTTGTCACCTCCAGAAGGGTGGAGGAGGGTGTGTGTGAGTGTGTGTGTGTCCATGCTGTGTGTATGTGTGTGTGTGTGTTTCTTATTCAGTGTGGCCATCTCACTATAAGAGAGTATTGATTCTCCATATGAGTGTGCAGGCGTGGACATGTGTCCTATTGTGTCCTGAAATCCCACGCTGCTCTCTCTTATCACGATTAGTGCGCCGATCCTTCGACAGGAGAAAACCTGCTGAGTGTTCATACTGAATATATCCTGAATAATTCAGTTAAAAACAGAGTTTAAAGGAAATTCTCTAACTGAAACTGACTGACTTTAGATCAGAACGTGTTTTTATTTTGTTGTTTCAGTTTTTATTTCCATCTGTAAATCCAGTTTAAGCAGTAAAGACGCTCCATCGTCCTCGCTCTCCCTCTTCATATCTTCACTCTTTTTCTCGATCAGCTCGTTGGAGGCTTTAAAACTGATCGATGACGATAGTTTTCACTGATGTTTACACTACAGCTGATCATTTACTCTCCTCCGATCGTCTTTTTTGGGCAAAAGTTGAAGTTCAGCTTTTTGTTTCTTGTCTCTTCCTGTTAAAATTGTATTTCAGGTCCCTTTTTTCTCTGTCCTTTAAATTAATTGTTTATTCACTTAATTAGCCATGAAAAATTGATTGGTTGTTTATCACTATTTGTGATTGAACTTTTTATACATTTGTTTGTCTCAGAGTTTGGATTATTAACAGATAATCGTTTTTTTTGTCCATGTTGATAACTTGATGTAACCCTCTGTAGGATAAAATGAGCCCCAATAATAAAGTTGAACTGACTGATTTAAGTTGGACAAAGATTTTTAGTTACAACCTTGTCAAAACGTGCACCGCAGCCTGCTACTAAGACAGGGATGGGCTTCTATTAGAAGTTTTACGGTAGACTTACACTTGTATTCTAACTACAGTCCAGAGATACTTTACAAGAGTACAAAAACATGTACAGGTTTGACTCTGCTGCATCATGAAGGGAGATTTTGTACTTTTTACACCACGTCATATTTTCAGTTTTCATCGACGAAAAAAAAGATGCAGTTGTGACGATTTTCTCTGAATGTTTTCAAGAATAACGTCTCAGAAATGCAGCAAATAGTCTCGACACTTTTTTATACATTTCATGTTTTCCACTTTTTTAGCACATCAATAGTTTTTCTCTTTTTAGTTTAGGGCAGTTTTTATGAAGACAGTTTTGTTTCTTTTCTGGAATAGTTTTGGGATCCGTCTGAATAGAAGATCAAATCAAATCTTCCTTTTAAAAAAGTGACCGTTCTTCACATTGTTTGTTGTTTTTGATAAACTAGTTCCAAAAAGTGCCAAAAGAAAATAAGTTAGCAGATTTATTTTTCACTTTTTTTTATCTTAGCTGTCCTCTAATTCTTCGAGGACCTGCTGATTAATCCTGCGGCCCTGTAGAGGGACTCCAACCGCATGTTTTAAACCAGTGGACTACACTGCTATCAGGGTTCCTACATAGTTGAGTTTCCAGACTTTTCCAAACCCGACTTTTAGAATTCTTTTTGGAAATACCGACTTTTCTATTTTATAGCACAGAATTTTGAATCGTGGTGAAAGTCTAGAAACATAAATATTTTTCCATACTTTATTTTTTATTTTTCATAGTTTTTAAGACCTGGAAATTGATCAAACTACTTCCTTATTTTTCCATACTTAAGTAGGAACCCTGTGTTATGTTTTCTTTCTCACTGGATTCGAGAGTACTCTTTAAAAACAGCTTTCTCGTCTAACTAAGTCATTGTTGTCACTGAGGTAAAAACATGTGGTCAGTTCTGCAGTCAGACCTCTAGATGGCAGTAAAGCTTTCCTCTTCCTCTTCCTCCTCCCTGAAGACACAAGCTTCCCCGTGAAGACCCACATAAATCACCATCATTTGCATTTTCATGTCCTGCTCAGAACCTGCTGCTGCAGCACAACGCCGAGGCAGGCAGCTCGACCTTTTTCAGGACTCGCTGCAGGTCGTCTCGGGTAAAAGAAACGCTTCAGAGCAGGAGTGAAGGAGAGAAACCTGGTCCTGATATCGGCCGGGTGTGGTCCAGAGTCAGGGCAGCCCTGCTGGATTAGCAGAAGGTCCCTCTGCGCCTGTTGTCTAATTACAAGCTGGTGAGTGCAGGGAAAGCCTGTATGACTGCTGAAGCGTGCTCCTGTGGGCCTGCCACCATCCCTGACAAACAACACACACACCCACCCACACACAAACACACAAACACACACACGCCTCCTCTTCCATGACAACAGAAACAACAACACTGTGGCCACCTGCAGCAGGCTGGGCTCCTCCTCGGTCAGGCAGCTCCTTCCTGTTCGCTCCTCTTTCTGCAGAGCGCTGCACTGCACCGCCGGATCAAAGTAAGACTAATGACCGGAGCTGCAGAGATGTAGCTACAGAAGCACTGCATCCCCAAGTGTTCCCGCTCACTGTAGTTAAACCACAAGTGGACTAAAGATAGCAGGTAGCACAAGACAAGACAGCAGCTAAATATATCATCAGGACACAGCAGAGGAGGAGGAGGAGGAGGAGGAGGAGCAGCACCTGATGAAGCTGTGACTTCCTCTCATCTGAATTAAAATTCAGTTCAGATCAAGAATCTTTAAGAGCAGATCATCCTTTTTCCTGCTCTCATCAGCCGTTTTCTCAGCTCATGTTCCTCCTCCTCCTCTTCTTCTTATCTCTTTCTCCAACAAGAAAAAAAAAGCTATTAATAGAACCCCTCTTTGCTCTTCCTCTTTTAAACATATACTCTGCATTTAAGGAAGAAGAAGAAGAAGCAGCATGAAGATACCAGGAGGCGTTCGAACATGTCCTCCACGACGCCTGCAGCTACAAAGACGCTGCATGTCCTAAGAATAACTACAAAGCGTCCTCTGATCGATCCAAAGCCGTTTGTGTCTTTTTTGGCTAAAATTAGCCGCGCTCACATCTTCTGCTGACTGAATACCTGGCCAACAATGTGATGCAGATGAAGATTAAAAAAAAAACACCTCTGTGCAAATATTTTTAAAACAGGGCAGTCATTTCACACAATAAACACTCTGAAGACAGTTTCAGTTGAATTATTATTGGCTTCATTATTGATATTACTTAGTCAGGGTTATGATCATTTGGAAGGATAATATGCATTTTTAAATTCACATGTTTTCTTGTCCATAGATTGTCCTTTTTGTCTCGTAAAGTGCAGATAATACTATGGTTTTAAAATCCAGACTTCACATACAGAGTATAGTACATGGTTTGTGCTCCACCATCCATTGGTTGTTATATTTACATTATTCTCTCACATTTCATTTCATAGAAAGAAAATCCGTAATCCACTGTACCAATGAAGATGGATGATTTCAGGCCTCTATGATCATAACAGGGGGTGAGTGACTGTACAGATGGTGTCAGTGGATGCCACACGAAAAAGAAAACCTCCTCAAACACACACATGCATACAGATTGCATATTGATTATCATGTTTCCCGTATGTTTGTTTCTTTTTTTTCTTTCTAATGTAGGAGCCTGGTTTTCAAAAGAGCTGACTCTGCAGATCAAACCGACCCAAAGCTCAGACGGATCATCTTCACATTCAGCTCACATTCAACGGGAACATCACAGAGTCTGTTCAGAGGTCGGTTTGAAACGTATGAGAGAGGATTAGGGACGCAAAAAGAGACAAGAACATTACAGCAGGGAGATTTCTTTAATTTCCATTTTTAGATTAGAGTCGAAATTTTGAGATTGAAGTAGAAATTTTGAGAGTAAAGTAAAAAATTTCAAGATAACAGTCGAAATGAAAAAAATCGAAATTTCTACATTAAAGTCAAAATTTCAAGATAAAAAAAAATTTAATTACGTGACTAAATCGACATTTTGACTTTAATCGCAAAATTGTACTTTTTTTATCTTGAAATTTTAACATTATTCAGGAAATTTCGACACTTTGTAATCTTAAAATTTTGACTTTAATCTAGAAATTAGATTTTTTTATTTAGAATTTTGACTTTACTGACATAATCTCAAAATTTAGACACTATTAACGACATTTCGACATTAATCTCAAAATTTCAATTTTTAATCACAAAATTTTTACTTTACAGACATAATTTCTTTTTTTTAAATCTTGATCTTACAACATTTTGTAATCTCAAAATATCACCTAATCTCAAATTTCATTGTTTTAATCCTGAAATTTCGACTCTAATCTCCTTCCTGTAGTTATTTTTGTTCTCTTCATGTGGCCCCGTTATCCTCTCTCGTATAAATGCATCACCAGCTCTTTTTTTTTTTAAGTGCCAAAATTAAACAAAATAAAAAAACATGAACTTCAACCTTCCCAACTACCAGCTCATAACCGCTCTCTGCATAGATTTCTCAGTGGATTCACTGTTTGGGCTCCTTTCTTATGGAGTGGATCTGCTGGTGGGTCCCTCGTTAGGTGAGAGATGATTTTTTTTTTTTTAATGCATGAAAACAACAACATGATTATTAGCTTTGACTCGTTTTTTTAAACAGATTAAATCTGCAGGTTTACAGATGAGGATGCTTCGACTCGTCTTTGTGCTTTAAGCAGAGATGATGGTCATGAACCCATGAGTTGCTACAGTGAATTTGGCTGAGGTACAGTAACGTGCCTGATCTCAAATAAAACAGAAAAAAAAATGAATCTGCAAATTTTCATCCCACATATCCATCCGAAAACAAAGCAATGAAGACAGGAAGATAGAATGCATCTGCATGCATAGACAAATATTTTTGGTCAGACTGTGAGTGTTTGTTGTTTTTTTTCACATATACAGATATGCAAATGGCTGTTGCATAAATGCAGCTGTACAAGCAGGCTAAGACACTGACATTCAGTGGTTCTCTCTCAAACACACAAACACACAAACACACACTCTCTCTCTCTTGTTCACACACACACTGCTTTGCATCAACACACCCACATCAATACTCGACTGATGATCAATTACATCTCGTTTGGACTGTGGAGGTCCATAAAGGTTCATTCTTTCTTATAAACAAACATCCATGCGCTCTCCACACAGACCCCTCCACTAAAGGATGACGGGGATATTGCTAAACAACTGCGAAAACCTGGTCCGACCTCGAGTTAAAGACCGTTTCAACATCTCAGACCGCCTCCATGCTACTCTTAAGAAAGCAACAAATTCTCTTAAAAAGTCTCTCAGGGTTCATGAAAGCAGACACCAAACTGGACACAGAGAGAGACGACTTCAGAAGCCTCACGTCAGGCAGTGTGACGAGGCGTCCTGAGCACATATTGGCAGCGATGGCGTAAAGACATTTTGCTACTGCAGGCTGAAGACTGTAGTGAGCAGAACAAGACCCCTAAGAATAAAGATGTACATCCTGGCATGACAGAATTCGTTTCCACTGTTCTTGCTACAGACTTTCTCCTGACCCGTCACCTCTCTAACTACCTAAGACATCCGTGGAAAGATGTAGGAAGGCAAAAGACTCCGGAGTGAAAAATCAGAGGACCCTTTTAGGTTCGCCAATATCTGCTACACTGCTGCTAATGATCACTTCCTGTATCGACAGAACTGCCTTTAACGGTTACTTTGGCAGTGTTGAGCAAACGGTGGAAAGTCTCAGCTGGACGCAATCCTAGAATCAGAACATAATTTAACGTTGATGCCAGCGTTTAAAGACAGATTGAGCTCCCTCCAACCAGACTTCATTGAAATTCAGACCAATTTAACAGCAATCAAAAAAGAAAGCTTTCTGAATCAAGACTCTGGTCAGGAACCAAACAGGGTTTTTGGACAACGCCCTGCCTTTCAACGCTAACTTCACAGCAGGCAGTTTTGGACGAATCGCAGTAAACTTTGTAGAATTTAATCCAGGTTGTGAGTGAGTGTGTGTGTGTGTGAGGTGTGCTGGTGAGACAATGTTTTTGGAGATGCTCGAGATGTACGGATATCAAATGTGTTCCTCCCTATACCGAGACATTAATACGGGCCTGTACAATAATAATGCATTACAAAAATATACCTATTATACTTGGAAAAGAGTGAGCGACTAACGGGACAGTCTCTGCTTTCACAATGACGTTTTTGTTACCTGTTTTTAGTGGTGAATTTATTTCAATATCCGATCTATGAATTTACTGCCCGAACCACAAAGCAATAGGGGTGTAACAACACAATACAAGGACGATATCGGTTCATTGAGGATTGGAAATAGATCAATCAATACGAGTTTAGTCAAGATCGCAGTGGAGCTGGCTACAGTGAAGGTCGGAGAATCCTTGGCGTTCGGTTCTACGCAGTTAAGTGCTTTAACGTTTTCACCAGACTGAACTCATCTAAAAGTTAGCTTTTCATATCCAATCATGATCAATATGATATCAATATGATATCACATGATGGACGCAGTGTGGGCGGTTTTAGGCTGAGATTTCGGTGGTCCCGCGTCTTTGACAGAGAACTCTGGCGTTGGCTGTGGTTTTAGCTTTAGCCCTCCGTGAATCAAAGTAAAGACAGGAGTGATGCCTGAGATCTGGGGCTGCTGGCGTTGCTGCTGCTCTGCTAAACGAGGATGTAGCTTGGCTTTTGTAACTAGTACCATACTCTAGGGCTGGGCGATAAACAGAAAAATGTATAGATAAATTTATGACAATAACCAACAGCATTTTGCCCACATCGGTATATTCGGTGTCAAAAAAATCAATAAATAAAAACAGACGAAGTTAATGTGGGAGGGGGCGAGCTGCTTGTGGAGTAGTTTTCATCCATTTATCGTTATCGAGGTGAACTGATCAATAAATCGTGATATTGAGGCCGTAACGCCCAGCCCTACCATGCCCCAAGTCTAAGTGCATTCTCTGTAAACAGCTGCTGACTCATCAAGGACACCTTCGGTTCGGTTCAACGCCGCCATCAGCCATCTTGGTGCAGCTGGTGCGCGCCCAGAACGTTGGTCAATGTGTAAATGTGACGTCTTTAGAAGAATCGATGCTCTGAATGAATTGTTACACCCCTACTAAGAATCACTGCCGTCCTCACTGGAGGATGATATCAGTGTTAGTGTTGGTATCGATATCGGCTCTGTTATCTGTATCAGTATCGGTTTTTGTCTGAGTCGGTATAACTGCAGAAAAAGGGGCGTGTTCGAGTGAATCTTTGGCACTCTGAACAGACTCGTAAACGGGAGCCTGCGCTCCGACCTGTCATTGAAAATAAAACGATGTCAATGATCTGAGTTTGTGGTGGAAAGGCTCTTGTTTTCTCTTGACGTTGCTTTTTTAAGTTTTTCTTTTAATTCTCTGGAAAAGTGTATTGATATGTGTAGTCTGTATACATATATTTTAAATATATATATAAGAAATAAATATATCTATTGTATTAATTCGACTTTTTTGTCTCAGAGGCGTCTTTTTTGAGCTTAAATGCATGCTGCTAGGAATGTCTTTGAGTCATGCAACACTAGGAGAGCGGCGTAAACCCGGATGAAGAGGCAGTTCAGGGGGGAAGCGTTATTATCCAAACACGAGTCCTTAAAGGCTGCTATTTTTGATCATGAGGACGTGATCGTGTGACAAACCCGTGAGAAAATAAAAGAAGAAGAAGAAGAAGAAGAAGACAGCGCTGCGAGTCTGTCACATCTGCAGCTCGGATTAAAGTCCAAAAACTAGGGTGTGAGTCACAGCCCGACGGCGGCGGCGGCGATACGTTTTACAGCGACCTGGCGAAGGTTTTAAACGGCAGATGACGTCTACATGGAATGTTAATATTGATTTATTCCTTAAGAAATCCTCTAACATACAGCTTTAGGCTCTGGAAACAGCTACCTGCAGGCATCCTTTGTCAAAGTGAGAATCTGTGTCGAAGGCAGTGTACAGACAAATATACAGTGTCGTGATGAAGCAAAGTGGCAGTCGAGAAACGATTGGAAAATTCTCATTCAGATTAAAAATGTCATGCAATTATCTACGGACTACGACTAACAGCACCTACCTACTTACTGGCTATCAGTTAAGTCACAGTTAACCTTCTTATCTATATGAATAAGTCCTCAGTGAGCGTGAAAAAACGTGAAAAACAAACCAAACAAGACATTCAAGTTGTCCTCAAAGCTCTGCAGTAAGACCAGTTTTGGGTGAATGAAGGGGGGGAAGCTTGCATTGCAAATACATACAGTACATGTAAGACCGAAGCAGTGAAAAAAGTCAAGGCCATCCTCAGTCATTCATCAGATACTGATGCCTGCTGGGAAACAAAAAAAAAAAAAGGCGTCGAACCATGAGCTTATAGCGCCGATGGCTGTCATTCATCCTTGAAATAACGTGGTGTACGTAACCACCAACCTCGTCACCTCGAGTCGCCGCAGAAGACTCTTATTTCTAAACATGAGACAGTTTTTTTTTTGTGTCATTGGCTCCAGGAAGCAGCATATGTAGCGCGCAGGTACGACTCTTCAGAAAGCGCATGGCAGAGAATGAGGGATTGGGGGACACGGGGGAGGGGGGGGCGAAGCAGGATTTGTGTCGTGTTGCTTCTTTATCTTTTTAAATGCAACGTTTTTTGTTTTTTTTTCTTGCATCGTTTCTCCTGTTTTCTTTTTTTCTGTGCACTACGGTTGGCTACTGTTGTGAGCGGGGACTTTTTGGAGTATTTTTTGTTGAATAACAGCCACACAGACGAAGCCAACTCCATGCAGAAATGCAAAATTGAAGATTTCACTCTGTGTAACAGTTAGGAGGAGTTTCAGGGGTTCGGAGTGAGAGGATGATGTTGTTTTCGTGAGCAGATGGTCTTTTGCAGTATTTTTTTTCCCATGTCTACAGTCATCATCATCATCATCATCATCATCATCGTCAACATCCTGATTTCTATTGCCTTGATTTTTCCAGCACTTGTGAGGTGGGAGGCTGCACACCTGTCCCGTCCAGTTGCTCAGCTCCACGAGTCCCGCAGTGATGGCGAGGAAAGAAGCAGATGGCGGCTACACGTCTGTGAGCATTTTGGTGATGTTTACATAGTTTGTGTTGGCCAGTGTGCAGTTGGCCGTCTTGAGGTTCTCCTCCTGGAAGTCCTCGTTGCTGTTGTTCACAGCCTCCTGGATCTCCATATAGTCCGATTTGCTGATGGTGGAGCCGCTGCGGCTCTTCTTCAGCTCTTCGGCCGAGTCGGTTTTGGGCACGTTGACCTGGAGGTACTGCGCCTGCTCCTCGCCCTCCGTCTCACGGTGGTAGAAGTAGTTGAAGTTGGACACGATGACAGGCACAGGCAGGGCGATGGTCAGCACACCCGCGATGGCACAGAGGGAACCCACGATCTTGCCGCCGATTGTAGTCGGGACCATGTCGCCGTAGCCGACCGTTGTCATGGACACCACGGCCCACCAAAACGCATCCGGGATGCTCTCGAACTGCGACTCCGGCTCGTCCGCTTCGGCGAAGTAGACGGCGCTGGAGAAGAGGATGACTCCGATGAAGAGGAAGAAGATGAGCAGACCGAGCTCTCTCATACTGGCTTTAAGGGTCTGACCCAGAATCTGCAGACCCTTGGAGTGGCGAGAGAGCTTGAAGATTCTGAAGACTCGTACCAATCGGATGACCCTGAGAATGGCTAAAGACATGGCTTGCTGACCCGCTTGACCATCCTCGGGCCGGTCTGCGAGCTCTGTGCCGAGAGTGATAAAGTACGGGATGATGGCGACGATATCAATAATGTTCATAATGTTCCCAAAAAAGCCCGCCTTACTGGGGCAGGCGAAGAAGCGCACCAGGAACTCAAAGGAGAACCAGATAATGCAGAGGGTCTCCAGGATGAAGAAGGGGTCGGTGAAGTAGGTGGAGGTGTAGCTGATGATGGTGGTGTTGGTCTCAGGTGAGAAGACTTTCGAATGAGCCTTGTGCATGTCATCGTCATCGTTGCGGAAAATGGGGAGGGTCTCCAGGCAGAAACTGACGATAGAAATGAGGATGACCATGACGGAGATTATGGCGATAATCCTAGCGGGACCTGAGCTCTCGGGATACTCGAAGAGTAACCACACCTGTCTCTGAAACTCGTTATCGGGAAGAGGACGCTCCTCCTCCTTGATGAAACCCTCGTCCTCCCGGAACATCTCGATGGCCTCCTCGCCCAGCTCGTAGAAGCGGATCTCCTCTGAGAAAATATCGAGGGTGACGTTGACTGGCCTTCTTAGCCGGCCCCCTGATTGGTAATAATACAATATGGCGTCAAAGCTGGGTCTGTTCCTGTCGAAAAAGTACTCGTTCCTCAGCGGGTCGAAGTAGCGCATCCTCTTTTTGGGGTCCCCCAGCAGAGTCTCTGGAAACTGGGAGAGGGTTTTCAGTTGAGTCTCAAAGCGCAGCCCTGAGATGTTGATGACCACCCTCTCGCAACACTCGTGGTCGGCCTCCGGGTCGTAGTCCTGCGGGTGCCCCGGGTGAGCCGCCGCCTCGTCAGAGGGGTCGCCTGTGGCAACAGTCATTCTGCAGGGGGAGGGGGCCTGCACTTTTCAGTGAGTCTGGGTCCTGCAGCCTGGAGAACTGCAGGCAGGGGTCAGGAGAGGGAGGGGGCTCAACAGCGTAAAGACCTGACGGCCACAGGATGTCACCTAGGATCTGACTGCATGTAGAACAGAGAGGAAACAGAAGACAACAAGGTCAGGTCAGCTGGAGGAGACATGATTCAGCACTTCATACTTCAGACGTCAGGAACCGACAACAAACACGTGAGGATGGATGAGAACGAAGACGCACACACTCATAGATCTGATGAGAAAGTTGTGTGGTCGTGAGCAGGCGGCGGATCCAGAAATGAATCATGAAAACTTGACACTCCTACTCCTGACTTCATATGCAAATAAACCGTCCGCCTTGCATATAAATGGCTCCAATGCAGGTAAACTCAGGAGCAGAGAGGCTCGTAAAAACCTACAGAGGCTCATAAATTAGAGCGGTGATCTGCTGCAATGGAACAAACCCGCTGAAATGAATGGGACTATGAAGCCATGCATGAATATGGCAATGCAGCAGGCACCACAACACATCCTGACAGCAGCAGCAGCAGCATCTTCTCGTCTATAGAATAAAACCACTGCAGCAGTCTGAACACACACATTTGCATTTGAAGATTTGGAGAGAGAGCGCACACACACACACTCACATGTTTAGTTTAGTTTTTGCCGGAGTGTTTTAGTCTTGAAATGGTGCCTGGCTTTGAAATATTCAAAAACGTCTATAAATAATTGATCCATAGAGGGAAATAGGCTCCAGGAGAAAAAACTGTTTCTCTTCTCTGCGTTACAAAAGAAGAACCATGGCAGTCTGAACACAGCAACACGTTTACACCTGCATGCTCTGAGTCTGAATCATCATAAGATCCTCTAAATATTCACAGCAGGTGAAGGTAAAGCTGCTCGATCCTGATTTCATACATACCTGCAGACATCTTCTTCATATCTGCTGCGAGTTGAAGCTCCTGCTGGACACTCTGGTGAACAACCAGCTGCGGCAACGAGCTCCTCAGCCTTCAGAGCAGAAGGAGAAGGGAAAAAAAACACACAAGTTCCAATGTAGGGCAGCCGATGGTCTTCTTCACCTCATGTTGTCTGCAGCATCCTCGCCGCCTAACACCGGGTACAGTATGTGCGGGTGTGTCCTCGCTTTCCCCTCCCCGACTCCCTTTCCTTTCCTCCGGGTAGGCTGTCGTGGGATGGCGATTGGCAACAGAATAAAAAAAAGGAAAAAAAGGAGGGAGGAGGAGGAGGAGGAGGAGGGTACCGATATCAGGGAGGGTTGCTGGTGCTTCCCTTAATAACCGAAAGGTGCTGGGATCAGCAGAATGATGCGGCGGGCGGCCGGTGTGTCTGAGAGCCGAGCTGTGTCTGCAGACAGAAGCCGCAAAGGTAAATAGTCCCGAGAAGGTGCTGAGAGAGGAAACATCTGCAGAGGGAGGGGGCGAGGAGAGCAAGGCGTGGAGGAGAAATCAGCTTAGAAATATAATCTGATTACCCAGATTTAATAATTAGACGCCTTCGGGGATAAAAGCATCAATAATCATTTCTGTGTGGGAATAAATCTGCTCCTGCGTCATCCCAGCCACTCCACATCTGAGCAAGAAGAAACAACAACACCTCGGCTGCAGGCAGGACCAGGATCCAGATCCTGGGCTGCAGGCTGTGAGTCAAGTGCGTCTCGTCTCCCGGAGACAGTTGTGTGAGTGTCCTAATAGCCTCCTACATGAGGAGCAGGGCAGCGTCTGCAGACACTGACGAGAAACGACATGCGTGAAAGAATCGCCCTCTGTAGTGGGCTCCGAGATTATGCAATTACACCGAGCCAGAGCCCCACACACCCACGAGAATCTAATTCATGTTAAGCGGCCTTTACTGGTGCAGCAGCTGAGGTGAAGGGGGATTTCCTGGGTGAGTTTTTGGAGCTCAGTCAAACCTGCATTCACGCACTGCTTTGCATACCAAGAGACGTGGAGAGGGCGAGAAAAAGGAGCTCTTCATCCGCACTGATGCCCACCACTCCTTACCTTATCTGCAGTGTGGGCAATTTAAAGGGGAACACATCTCCTGCTTTTCTTCAGCTGCACCGCTGAGGCTCAGGATTTCTACCATCAGAGCTGATGAGTGAAAAAAAAACTCATCTTTATGAATAAAGTTCTTTTCCAGAAAACACTCAGGCCCAAACTTGGAGACCGTGGAGAGTCGAGAGAGATCCACAAGTTATAAACTGACAAAAACTTGTGTCACAGTTAAACTATAGAGGTTAAAACTGAAACGGTCAGTGTTTAAAGTGTAAAGAAAAAGGTGTCAGTACTCCCTCATTCTCTTGTTGGTCAGTCTAAGTAAATCTCGGGTGTTAAGATCAGAATTTTGACTATTTAGTATTTCACAGGTTTCCTGTAAAGACACCACACTGAAAAGGCCTGCAAGTTTCCAAGTGAATGTCACGTGTCACATATTGGTGCATTTAGATGCTTTTATAATAACACCAAAAACATTCCAGTGTGTCCAGGAGTTCAGAAGAGTATCTGACCAGAAGTCTGGATATAATATGATGCTGAACATGTGATAAAATACAGAACTGAAAAAAATAAAATTGAAAAATGTTCCATCTTACATGATATTAAACAAGAAGACATGAAATGACTGGTTAGTTCATGAAACCTAAACCTGAGTGACTTCACTGGATGTTACATCACATGATGACAACGATGACAATCAGATCACAAAGATTCATCACTTTGTTTTATTAACATATCACCAAAGCCCCCTTTAAATGAATTAAAGTGATGATTACCGCCGTGAGGAGTCATGAAGAAATCTATTTAATGATGTGACCACGATAGTACAAGAATCAGGAAGGTGATATATTCTTCATATTTAGTTTGATGTCTTCTTTAAATCCATCCATCTATTCATCTATGAACAGAATCAGTGACAAACAGCAGCAGAGTCCAACCCTCACCAGAAACGAGTCCGACTTACTACTGTCTACGCAGACCAAGCTCTGGCACTGGTCGTACTGGGGATGAACAGCCCTTGTCAGGGTGTCCGGGACTCCATACTCATGGAGAACCCCCACAGGACTCCCTGAGGGACACGGTCAAATGTGAAAACTGCTCTGCAGCTCCTGAATCTGGGGTTCGACTATCCGGGGGGACCCTCCTCTCCAGGACCTCTGAATAGACCTTCCTGAGAGGCTGAGAAGTGTAATCCCATATAGTTGGTACACACCCTCCAATAGGGCTGGGCGATATGGCCTCAAATCAATATCATGTTATATTGATCAGTTCACCTTGATAACGATAAATGGACGATAACTACTCCACAAGCTGCTCACCCCCTCCCACATTAACTTCGTCTACTTCAGCCGCTCCAACTTTTGAACCGTCCTCCATCTCCTCACCTGTCTTTCCCTCTTTGTCACGTCTCTGACGTAGGACAGCGTCTTAAAGGGACATGAAACCATAGTCTACCTACACACATCCAAAACCAGTTTTTACTTATCCATTGATTTTTTACACCGAATATACCAATATGGGCAAAATGATGTTGGTTATTGTCGTAAATTTTTGGTTTATCTCTCAGCCCTACCCTCTGATCCCCCTTCTTATACAGGGGGACCACCACCCTGGTTTGCTAATCCAGAGGCACTGTCCCCAATGTCCACGCGACGTTGCAGAGTCGTGTCAGCCACGACAGTCACAACATCCAGGGTGAATCTCATCCAACCCCGAGGCCTTGCTGCCACTGAGGAGCTTATTAACCACCTCGGCAACTTCCGCCCCAAAGATAGAAGAGCCCACATCTGAGTCCCCCTGGCCTGCTTCCTCTTTAGATGGTGGGATTGAGGAGGTCTTCGAAGTTTTGTTTAAACATAACTATAAATAACCATAAATATAATCCAAAAGCATCAAACGGTGAAGCTTCAGTGTGAACTAATCGAACAAAAGAGAAGAGTCACCGCTGCTCATGTAAACGGAGCTGAAAAGCACGTTTCTCTCTCTCCCATGTACGTGTCTCCTCTGAGCTGTTTTGGTGTGATTATGAGCAAACGCCGCGGCTGCATCATCCCTCATGAAGTCATTTTTCTGCCTTGTAATTCTTACAACAGCAGTTATATTTGTTCCCTTTCCTGGCAACAAGCTTCATTAATAATAGATAGGAGGGTGACTAAAATAGAGCAAATCCTCCATCATTGTGGCGGGCTGCATTCAGAACAAAGAACTAACTGATCAATAGGCAGATCCTTGCCCTGCTATCAATTCTGGCGCCAGGAGTGAAAGCGTGGTGTCCAGAGATGACCTGCGGCGAGGCCAAAGGGCGGCGGGAATCCCTCTGTTGGGAAGTGAGCGAGGGGATGGAGGAGGGGGGTGGAGGAAAGGGAAAGCCAGCAGGATGATTGATGTGGGACTTGACTTTGCCAAGGTTACTCCTGGCAGACCCGAGTCCATCACAGCTCCCGGCCTCGTCCCGTCTGTCTGCCTGCCTGCCTGCCTGCCTGCCTGCTCGCCGTCCTGCTGCCACACACACACACACAGATACCTCTCACTATCTCTTAATGGCTTTCCCAGGTTCCCCATGACAGCACAGCCATTATTTATGAGCCGGGGGCCCGTTACAAAGACTGTTAATGCAGCCTCCAAAGCTCAGTTCACTTTGCATTAGCTGGCTGTCTTTAATTAAAAGCGAAGGGTCCGTGCTCTGTGAACGCCGTGTGCGTTTACATCGTATGTGAACGTGAAACTGTGGAGGGTTCGTATACGCCGGTGTCAATGTCGAGTTTGCTTCCAAGAGGTATTGATTTCAGTCTTTTAAATCAGGGTTTATTTTTTGGCACAAAGAGAAAATGAAGTGGAGGAACTGAAGGGTCATTATCACTTAGCCTTCAGCTGAATGCCAGGCTGCTCTGCACTCTGCTCGCTGTGAAGGATAAGAAGATTAAGGTCTCTTGTCGTGTAATTACATGTAGTAAGGGGTGAAATATCTCATTAAAACTAAACAAATAGCTGCTCTACCTGTCTGATGTATGAGTGAGCAGGAGTGGCTGAACAGATGGAGATGATGGAGTGTGCACATGCTAAACTAGGGCTGGGCGATAAACCGAAATTTACAAATACCGAAATTTACGATAATAACTGACGTCATTTTGTCCAAATCGGTATATTCTGTATAATCAGCCTCAAAGCAAAAATCTTGAATTGTCAAATTAGTTTGTTAATTAGCTAAAAAAAGAATTAAAAACTTCATTAGTGATCTTTGACTTTTGTGCTGGATAAATTTAAATTTAAATAAAATATGTTTAACATTTAATTGTCAAGTTGAGATTTTTCTTCTATTTTACTAAAAAATAGTTTTAGGTTCTGCAATCGGTCCTGAGGTAGGGGTGGGCGATAAACTGAAAATTTACCAATACTGAAATTTACGACAATAACCAACATCATTTTTTCCATATCAGTATATTTAAAAAAATAAATAAATCAAAGTTGTTTTTGGATGTGTGTAGGTAGGCTATGGTCTCATGTCCCTTTAAGACGCTGTCCTACGTCAGAGACGTGACTCCACCCCATCCAGTCTGTAACAAAGAGGGAAAGACAGGTGAGGAGATGGAGGACGGTTCAAAAGTTGGAGCGGCTGAAGTAGACGAAGTTAATGTGGGAGGGGGTGAGCAGCTTGTGGAGTAGTTATCGTCCATTTATCGTTATCGAGGTGAACTGATCAATATATCCTGATATTAATTTGAGGACATATCGTCCAGCCGTACCAAGAGCAGAGGTCTGGCTGAATTATTGACATCATATATGATTTTACATTTACTTTAAAGTTTGGTGAATTTTGTTATCAGACTAAAAAAAAGGTATTTTTGTTTACTAGTTAATTTGATTGAGAATTCAATTATAATATGATTGTCCTGAAACATATTGATTGTTCTAATATTGATTTAAAGGTTTATTATTGTGATTGTGGGCTGTGTTTCTAATATCCTATTGTATTGCTCCAACCTACTAACATAAGTGATCTTTTTATGTTCAGTTTAGTTTTTCTCAAATACATTAAAACATAAAATAATATCTTACACATAAAATACGTCATTTAAAAGTTTAACTTTTTGGTAGTTTCTCATTTTAGGAGACTCGTGGTTTCAAAAAATTAACAGGCCTATTTTTACTCAAGAAAATAGTGTCAAGTTCGGTGTATAAGACACATTTTTTATACATTTTTTGTCCTCTAAAACGTGAGCTGCATCCGACTGACCCTTTTGACCAACAAACCAGTTTGAATGCAGTGACATATTTTACCCAGAAGGTGGCACTCGAAGAAGTAAAGGACCACTTGCACAAATTTCCCCTCAAAACCTCATTGAGCTGGATCGTGACTTTAAAACTAGACCACAGACCAGTGAGTTTAACTCTCTCAGTGATCCATGGAGCTGAAAACCCACGCTCTCAGCTCTGTCGCGTTTAGACCGGCATCAAACTGGCGTTGGTGGAGGTGGTTTCAGGTTTGTACATTCTTGTTTTCTCTTCTTTGAATCATGAGGTGAATTTGATCACCTTTCATAAATATATATATATTTAAATATGTTGCCAGTTCAGCATAAACATAAACCAACCGTTCCCAGAGTCCTCAGATGACTCAGATGTAAATAAGTTTATCGATGGCGAGTGTCAGAGCTGTTTAGTTCCCTCTCTGGAGAGCAGACCTCTTCTTTACGAACACTGACTGTCTGTCTGCTCTACCTCCTCACTTCTTGGCACTGCATTGCAGCAGCCACAAGTTTCCAGCACACACACACACACACACACACACACACACACACACACACACACACACACACACACACACACACACACACACACACACAGACAGTTTAAATTGCAATATGATTCAGCAGCTCTCTGAATTTGAGCAGCAGAAATGCACAAAATAAAATGTTGAACTTTTGCACATAATTTAATTTTAATGTCATCTCTGTTTACTCAGACTCTTGTTTATTTTCTGCCATGTTTCCTCCTCTCCTCAGGGGATCCAGAAATCCCACAAACTTGCTCCTGAACACTTTATTTCCAAAGCATCTCGTCTGAAACTCGATTTGTTTAACCCTCTGGGAGATGAGTCATTCCAGTACCGAGGAAACACTAAGGTGCCCTGCAAAAGACGCCGCTGTACACAGAGACAGAAACCAGGCTCTGAATGCAGAGGAGGGTAAATTAAAACAAAGGTTTCCAGACGTACAGTATGGTGAAGCGGGTCTGTGTGTCCTCAGTGGAGAAAAAAAGAGGAAGTAGAGAGCGGAGAGGAGAAAAAAGAGAGTAGTGCTGATCAGATTGAGGCCCGGCAGGATGAGGATAGATGTTGGAAAGGAGCCAGAAACCAGGAGAGACACAAGGACACTAGTCGCTCCACACTGCGGTACGCTGCCAAGCTGCACACCACACGGCCAGAAAATCTCACGCAAGTCTGAAAAACACCCACTGCAAGAACTAATTATCTGAACCTGCTACCTGTGGACATTTTTCACCGGTTTACAGAGCCTGTACCGACACATGCTGAGGTCAAATTTACAGAAAACATGGAGTTTAATTTACGACTTCTGTGTTCGTCATTAATGAAGAAGATGGCGACAAAATGACCCCCAAAAAGAGAGAGAGAGAGAGAGAGGATTGTGGCTCCGGTTCAGTTCAGCGAGCTCTCATTGCAGCTGAAGAGCTGAAGAGAGGGATGTGAGTCAGTCAGGGAGTGAGAGAGTGAGTGAGTCAGTGTCACTGGTGCAGGGAAACCCTCCTCTGCTGCAGTCGACCATGGGTGTGTGTGTAAGTGAGTGAAATTCAAGTCAAGGTAAGTATGTTCGAGGTCATGTTACACCAAGGTCAAACACACGAAACGAGACACTTTTCAGAGGAGGAAAAATAAAACTGCACCAATCAGCTTTTTGATATGCAGAGAAAGACTCCGGAGAAGGAGGAACTTAACTCTGTGCATTTCATGCTGCATCGATTTATTGCAGCATTTCTCTCCGCCCGTGAATATTTAAGCAAAGCCCGGTTTTGTTCCCTTTCCATGAGGTGGAAAGTGCATTCATAGTTTTGCATTGAAGCTGTATGTAATGTTTAAGAGGGACCAGACTGCAGTGTTTGTCTACTGCAGCACAGATGCACATTATAGGACTTGTGGGATTTACAGCGACGGCGTCTGTGTCACTGCGATGATGCAATCCCTCGCTTTTTGTTTGCCAGTGACTCAAGGAGTGAAAAATATTCGCCTCGTCCTCGTGCAGCAGTCAGATCTGCAGTCAATGCTGCTGCTGCTCTCTCGCACACGAGACACCTGAGGGATGAGTCAGGGCTTCAGAAACCAGCCGATCACACGGCCCTACGATCAGAACTTCACTCACGTCTGACTCGTCCCATTTTTGTTTGTTGGTCCGGTTCAGATTTAAAGACGATCAGAGTCAGTGAGGAGAAATTCTCCAAAGTCAGCATAGTCACTGTAGTTGGGTGAATCTTCTTCTCAGCCTCGTTCAGTTGCCACGGAGACCATCTCCAGGGGCAGCAGTGGGAGGAGGCTGGGCAGTGACATCACGCCTACTGATGCCGCCGGGATATTTCAGGTAAAGTTACAGCGTGATGACAAAGCACTTTTGTTTTTTTTTCTCCTGCGGTCGGGTGTCAGATGAGAGAGAGGGATGATCCTGCACACCTGCTAACGTGCACGCTCTCCAGCATATGGTCCAGTCCGGTCCCCTATATCAGACCGGTTTGAGTGCGGCTCATCTCCCCTCAGGGATGATGGGATGTATGCTTTCTCTGACATGCTCTCTCAGCTCTCATTTGTCTCACTGAAAAGCCCTGAATGAAGACTCCTCATGCAGAAGAGTGAACTTTATGAATCGCCTCCAGAGAACCATTACATGTTCTCCAAAGAGCAGATGGATGAAAAGAATACGCCTATACGTCTCCTGCTTTCTATTTTTGGCAGCAGTGAGTAACAGTTTTAGGGCAAACACTGTACCACATAAAAATACCATCCGAGCAGGAAGGGAAATGCGCACAACTGTGAATAATTGCGCCGCCTGTCTCCACCTAAGCGGCGAGGGAAGCTTTGGTAAAGTTCAAGGAAGACACGCGGCGCCTCTCCTGTTGGCGTGCTGGGTTTTATCAGAGGTAGCACGCCGCTGCGAGGCATCGAATCCTCTCATGTGGCGAATGCTGGCATGATGAGGACAGAGAGAGAGAGGAGGGGAAGCCCGGGGTCTCCCTCTATCTCCCCCACCCATCCCCCCCTCACACACTGAGCAGGATCTCGCATTCTCGCATCTGCCTGGAGCAGCAGTGGGCATTTGTGTATCAATCATGCAAGCTCAAATATGGGCGTGTGTTTACTTTGAGCGTGTGCACATCCTGTCAAGAACTCTTATCCTGCAGCAAAGTGCACTCAGGTGTCCCAGATGTGACGCTCTAACAGCTGTGCAGCCCTCGAGCGCACTTACTCACACACTCAGACGTCCACAGAGGTACGAGGAGACACCTCAGAGCGGCGTGCGTCCTTCTCCTTTAAATCTGCATTATTAAATAGAGGTCATTAGTTTGTGTTTACGACGTCTACGCTGACATGCATGTGTCGTTACATAATCAGGGTGGAGTTACATTTGACTTTTTCAAACAGACTAATTCAGGACGATAAAAACTTCATGTCTCAGTTTGAGGACCTTCATTAAAGTCTGCCCACAGCAGGGAGGAGAACAGTAATCCTTAAAGTAATCCTCTGACATGCTCACACTGGAGGTTTTTCACCAGCTACAGGCGTTTTGTTAGCGTCTCAGCCTTCAGTTGCATAATGTCGCACTTATTGTTTTTCAGAATATGAGTCCACGTGCTCGGTCTTAAACCGAGAACAAGAACTGCTCAAAGTGTCAAAGTGAAAACGTTTAACATTTATGAAGTTATTCTGGTAGATATGCAGAGATAACAGACGCCTGCAGACACAGAGACACGACATTAGCATCGATTAAGAGTCAGGTTTGAAAACGTGTGACGGGAACAAATCTGCACTCGTACCCACCAGCACAGTCCGAGATGTTCGACAAAGGATCGCACACTCGCTAAATTACCTTGACCCGATTTAAGAGGTCAAATATTCAACCCAGATACATGTTTAACGAAGACGTTCTACCTCATTAATAAATTATTGTTTTTCATGTTTTCTGCTGTTAAATCTTTTAAGATTATATTTCAGTTGGTCACATGTGATTAAAATCTGATTTCATATTTCTCCCATCACAAAATAAACACAGTATTTGCTTTATGTTGCAAATCTTGAATATATGCAAGAGAAGTGGAGGATTTATGACTAAATCAAAGGTACAAGCTTTAGTATTTAACAGCATCTATGGATTATGCATAATCAATAAGTTTGTTTGAAAATTTCATGATCACCTGAATCTAATAAACTGTTTAAACCGACATGATGAGTGAGACTCCTTTAGAATTTTGTTTCTACAGTCAAACTAGAAACATCTGTGTCTACGTATATAGTGAGGGGTATGAAGATAAACAACAGGAGTATAAGAGAATAGGAGGAAACTGATGGTGAAAACTAAACATCTTCACTCTTGCCAGTTGGCACAAAGCGATAACCTCTGCTCTTGAAGGAATGAAGCGGATGCAGACGTGCTGAAGACTGCAGATGCCTGACCTGAAGGTGTCTGCAGAAGCACCTGGAGACCTCAGTCACAGTAAAATAAACATGTTTGTTTCAAAGTCATTAAGGGTACAAGATTAATGAAACAGAGGCACGGCTGACTCCACTGATAGGCGGACACGCTGTAACGGAGGTTAAAGGCCCGCTGCCTCTGGTTGAGTCAGTCACTGACATGATGAGAAAAACTCTTCTTCACAAACAAACGGTGACCGACTCTACGTCCATTGATTAGAGAGTCTACAGTTGTAACCAGAATTACTGGTTTGTTAAAAGAGTTATGACCCACTTGACCTGGGTAAAGAATAACCAGCACAGACATGTGGACTAGGGCTGGGCGATATGGCCTCAAATCAATATCACGATATATTGATCAGTTCAATTCAATAACGATAAATGGACGATAACTACTCCACAAGCTGCTCACCCCCTCCCACATTAACTTCGTCTACTTCAGCCGCTACAACTTTTGAACCGTCCTCCATCTCAACTTTGATTTATTTATTTTTTTGACACAGAATATACCGATATGGACAAAATGACGTTGGTTATCATAAATTTCATTATCGGTAAATTTTCAGTTTATCGCCCAGCCCTAACGTGGACATAAATCTGCAAAAGGGACCGCTGGTTGCTCTGCTAACCTCAGCCACAACTTGACAAACCATTAAAACAACGTTGACCAGCAGTCTGTGAAATCCACCACTCAGCCGTATCACTGTGACTGCTTTCTTACCTTGAGACTCTTCAGGTCGTAAAAACATTCATTTCTGTTTAAACTCTTCGATGGGAAGATTGTTGTTTTATAAATTCATGCACTCTTCAGATACTTACTACTTTATGTCTGTCCGTATTCTTATTAACAATATGATGAGGCTTACAGAGAAGACACAGACACAGCTCAGTAAAGATAAAACAGTGTTAGTTTGACATGCAGCAGATCAGCTGTTTAGATATAATTATCAGATGATCCTGCTGTTTAATCCTGAGCAGCTCTGTGTGAAGCAACGACAAAGAGGCTTTATTCAGGGAAAGTAAAAAAAAACTGTGTGGTATTTAATCTTGTGAAATAATGAGCTCCTTTGTTTCACATATTTAAGAGAATTAACACTCTTCTATTAATTTAAATACTGTTAAAGCAACATGATGCCGCGATATTTCCGCCCATTAAGCCGAACAAATTTACCTTTAAATGCGACTTTTACCTCTGCGCAACCAACAGGAAGACAAACGGAACCGCAGGTGTCCCTCCTGAAGCTCTGCAGGTGATGATCTACGGCGCCGCAGCGGAGTAAATTACTGATCCGTTTTCATTTCTCAAGTTAAAAATACAAGAACTTAAATCCCAGCACAGACGACAGAGGGAACAAAACCACTCAGCACTTCTGAGACAGAACACCTGGAGCTGCAGGTTTCTGGAGGTCATTGTTGCTCATGTGGGACTGCACGTTCAGCAAAGTCTCCCACTGAAGGGTCAAAGGTCACTGCTATACTGCCTTACTTTAAAATTACTGATGCAGTAGAGTTAACTTCAGCATGTTTGTTTAGGTCTGCTTTTAACCTTCAGAGGCCGTGTTTGTGTGCTTTAATTAAATGTTTAGTTTGTGTGGAAATGTGAAAAAGAAACGTACACATCAGTTTAAGTTCGGACCGCAGGCTTCTGTCAAGTTTGACATCTTGATTATTATCTTTAAGACCAAAAAGACAAACACAACTTCATTTCAGAGAGTTAGAATAAACCTCTGAACTATCTCTACACTGGATTATGTAGGTGACATCAGAGTAGGTTACAGAGAGTCGCACAAACATGACTAGATGATCATTCTGAAGTAGGGCCGTGCGATCTGACGATCTTACATCATGAAGGATTAAAAAGTGATGATGACCAAAGCACAGAGATCGTAGAACCGTCTGTAGGGCGCATGTATCCCTAATATGTCTATATAAATGTCTTGTCCTCTCAAATCAAATTTTTGGAAAATAAGAGAGTATATAGGGTTGGGCGATATGGCCTCAAATCAATATCACGATATATTAATCAGTTCGCCTTGATAATGATTCATGGACGATAACTACTCCACAAGCTGCTCACCCCCTCCCACATTAACTTCGTCTACTTCAGCCGCTCCAACTTTTGAACCGTCCTCCGTCTCCTCACCTGTCTTTCCCTCTTTGTTACGGACGTACACACATCAAAAACTAACTTTGATTTGATTGATTTGACTTTGATTGATTTTTTTGACACCCAATATACCGACATGGGCAAAATGACGTTGGTTATTGTCGTAAACTTCAGTATGAGTAAATTTTCAGTTTATCGCTCAGCCCTAAGAGCACATTTTAATTTATAAGTGATAAAAGTATCTGCAGTCGTGGTCATGAGAGGAGCAAAAAATAGAAGAACCAGCCAGAAAAGAGAGAAAAAGAAAAGAAAAAGCTCTACATTTGTTGTATTTTGTAAATTAGTTTGAAGTGATTTTTTTAATTATTCATAAGACTACCTCTTATTTTTGTAAATATTGACTTTTGTGTGTGTAGTCTTATTTTAGGTTCAAATTTATTTGAGAATGAGACCATTGAAATAAACGTTATGCTGGATATTTTATTTCATATTTTATCTCTATTTTTACTCCC